TCTCTACGGGTTTTACTTATCTGTGGTTCCTCTTGAGGTAATTGAGATACTTTCTTTTTCAAAACAAGTCTTCTGCTCGCTCCCTGATCAGGTGTCTCGGTGAACCCAGGAGACCGAGCACGGTGACCGGAGCGAGATGAACGGGGCACGGACAGGGAGGGCACTCTGTCCACCTGCTTCATCTGGCTTCTTATGTTGAGGTAAATCAAATGAGCTTTTTTCTTGAGCCTTTTGTTTCAGACGGAATTGAAGGAAGTGAAACTCGCGACTGCGCCCAGCTGGTTTATTCTTGGGTCCTTAAATATCGGCCTAGTGTTTATTTAGTGGAGATGCTGGAGGAGGGGCAGCCAAGAAGAGCTGGGCTTGCCCCCAACTCGCTGGAGGCCCTCAGCCGAGCAGACCCCTGACGTGGATCTCAGGCCACCCTCTGCCCGTGAAGGGTGCCGTCCCGGGCCTCCTGGGCCCGTGCTTTCAAAGTTTTTTAACCAAATAACATTCGTCTTCCTGAAATGAATGCTGATTAGTACCGTATTCTCCCTCAGCCCCTTTAAAAATTTTATTTAGTTGTGGTAAAATACACATAACATAAAATTAGACCGTCTTGACCATTTGTAAGTGTACAATTCAGTGAACTTAATGTAAGGGCATTCACAGTGTTGGGCAACCATTGCCACCATCGGTCTCTAGAACTTTCTTCATCTTGCAGAATGAACCTCTGTGCCTATTAAACACTGACTGCCCTTCCCCCCTCCCCCTGGCCCCTGGTAATCACCATTCTACTTTCTATTCTGTGAGTTTGTCTGCTGGAATCATATCATATAGTATTTGTCCTTTGTGACTGACTTATTTCACTCACCATAATGTCCTCAAGACTCATCCATGCTGTAGCGTGCGCCAGAATATCCTTCCTTTTTAGGGCTGGATAATATTCCCCTCCGTGTAGATACTGCATTTTGTTTATTCACCCATTGGTGGACACTTGGGTTGTTCCCACCTTTTGGCCATTGTGAATAATGCTGCTGTGAACATGGGTGTGCAAATATCTTTTTGAGACCTTGATTTCAATTCTTTCAGATATATTCCAGAAGTGGAATTGCTGGATCATATGGTAATTCCATTTTTAATTTGTTGAGCAACCACCATGCTGTTTTCCATAGTGGTTGCATCATTTTAGGTTGTCACCAGTGGTGCACAAGGGTTCTAGTTTCTTTACGTCCTTGCTTGTTTTTTTTCTTTTTTTTAGATAGCAGCCATCCAAATAGATGAGGTGGTGGTAGTAGTGTTCTTCCTTTTAGAAAATTCTCAGCGCTCAGCTAAGGCAGCCCCAGCAGGTAGATGTTGAGGACCGTTCCTAGGAGCTTATTGCCAGGTGGGGCTGTGGCCCTCTCATTTAAGAATCATGGAACAGACTTCCTGCTTCCACATGGGGGTATTTTCAGTTTTGCAAATAAGTTGTTCAACAGAGGGGGTAGCTAAAGATATCAAAGTAACTTCTGGTTATTTGTGGTAGGAAAAATACACCAGGCTGATCCCGTGGATGCAAGACGGAAGATCACAGGGCTGGACGTGGGGAAGGCCCAGTCCAGGCTCCGTCTCTGCCATGGGGGGATCTGCCTAAGTCGCTTCCCATTTCTGGGCGTATTTCTTTAAAATGGGGATATTGGAACAACAGCTCAGTCAGGATCCTGCCAGCTTCGAAATTCTCGGATTTTGCACGATAACCTTGAATTCACTCACTGAAAAGGGGGAGCGATGCTTGTTCTTGAGGACGACAGAACAGAGCAACACTTAGTTTAAATGATTAGAGATGCCCTTTTGCCTGCCAAGAATTAGGCATCGCAGCCTTTACCTTCGAACGCTTGGAGCCGGGATTGGGGCTCACAGATCATCTTGGCCTGCATCCTCCTTTGACAGATGAGAAGCCCTATGCAGAGATGTGGTACCGTCCAATTAGGAGCCTTCTCTTCTTATGATAAGTGTGCTGGCCGGCGGGTCTCAAGCTCTTCTCAGGAGCTGTGTTAGCAGCAGCAGTGGCCCTGGCGTTGGGGCACGACCGCACAGCAGGGGAAGTGGTCACGCGTCCCTGAGTGATGGGCCTAGCTCGTGTGTGAGGGCGATGAGGTTAGGAGAAGCGTAGGGGTCAGGAGAGAGGGCTCGACAGAACCAAAATGGAGGTGGCTTCAGAATCCCAATCCCGGGTCCGGGTCTGCCGGCACGCCCGTGCTCTGGGCCTTTGCTTCATTGCACTTTTCTCATCTGCAAGGCTGCGTACTACAGGGTTATTGGGAGAAGCCCACGAACGGGAGGTAATGTGATGAAAGAGGTTGTACAGGAATGCCGGGCCTCCTGCCTGCTCGCAGCTGTGGCGTTAGAGCTTTAGCTCGTGGTGGGCACAATGTTAAAGTCCAGGTGGAGCGTCAAGGTGGTGATTTCTTTTATAAAATGACGCCCTGTCAGAAGCATGAGAGTTACAAAGAATCCTTTTTTTTATCATTCATCTTTTCAGGCACTGATCTCCCCCCTTTTTGTATGACGTGAGTTAAATCTGTACCATTCAACAGATTTAGAAAAGGCAGGCTTTGATATGTTTCCATACGCGTGACCTCGTTGGCGGTGAGGGCTGGGGGCAGGTCCCAGCGTGTCTCTCCCAGCCTTTGCGGGAGGTCTGCTGGTCTCCTCAACCGAGGGAGGCGGTGCAGTGTCCCTTCAGAGGGCATCCTTTAAAATTGTAAAGCGAGCCACCGAGGGCTTCCTGTGCTCTTTTCCTTGTAGGTTTTGCTCATTGTTTTTAGGTCTCTGACCTGTTCTCAGTTTTAATTAAATCAGTAGTTCTTGTTTGCCCAGTGCACACGGGTCGTTTGACTAACCACTTTGGAGCCTCAGTTTCCCCATTTGTAAACTGGGGATGCTAATATTACTTCTGCTTATGTCATAGGGTTGAGGTGAGGCTTACAAAAGGTATTTTTTGTGTTGTTTTTTTAACTTGAAAGGATAGGGCTTGATCCTTGTCCTCAAGGAGAATCTGGCTTCACCAAGTGACAGGAGAACCACTTGGCAAAATAGTGACACATCAGAGCAAGGAGGTGCACAGAACCAAACTGTGTACACAGAGGTTCATCAGGGCAGGTGTGCGCATGCGCTGTGGCCCTCGCTGGAATCTCTAAGTATAAGGGCCCTGAGGTGGGTGGGGTCGGGTGGCCCCAGGGTAGGTAGTCGTCTTGGAGAATCGGGGTGTGTGGGCGGGGAGAAAGGGACAGGTCTTGGGATCCATTGATTGGAAGTCACGTTGTGCAAACCCTTCACGCTCAGATCTGGTATTTGAAACCTCATGTCTCTCAGGTCCACCAAAGCGTTAAGTGTATAGAGAAGAGAGAGGAGAACAGGGATTAGATTGAGCCCTGAAGTGTAAGTGTGCCTAGAGCTGGAGAAGAAAGGACCTGGGGGGGTGGGGGGGGGAAGGACCACTGAGCAGGGCCACATCCCGGAGGGAGGTGAGAGGTGGATGGTGCGGCCCAGTGAAGCAGAGCAAGAGGGAGGAGTGGCCAGAGGAAGACTGCAGGGGGGAGACGGAGACCTGCGTGCTGTGGGCCCATCTGAGGTGTCCAAGTCACATCAGGGCAGGTGACAGGGCCAGACAGTGGAGCCGGAGGGCGGGCTGTGCCCAGGTGGGCAGTCGGGCAGGTGTGGACCAGCGCCGAGATGGTTGTCGGAGCCAGAGCACAGCACCAGCTCAGACTCCCGTGACTGCACCTGGATGTCCCTCGGATTGTCCCTTTGCCTCCATTGCTGCTTCACTGCCTCCTTTCAGGCTGGCATGGTTTCTCAACTGCACCATCGTCAACAGCCACCAGCTAGCCTTCTTGCCTTCACCTTCTCTTCTTGCCCATCTTTACCTTTTTACCACAATGCTCTTTCTAAATCAGGATTGAATTGTCATTTTGTTGTTTCCGAATCTCCAGGGGCTTCACATTGCTGCCTAGCACCGTCTGAATCTCCTGGCGTGGTTCACCTCTCCGTCCTTCCCCTGCATGTTCTTGGTTGCAGGCACTGTCCCTCTCTCTGCCTTTGCACGTGCCTCTCCTCTTGCAGGGCGCTTGTCCACCTTCTCCATCCTAAAAACCGTCAGCTCTCCTCCAGGCGCGCCGAGTGCCAGCTGCTCTGTGCTGCGTCCTCCTCCTGCCTTGGTCGGAACTCCCTTAGCACTTACTTAAAACAGATGCAGCAACGCAGGCCTGTAGCTTAGTGATTGTGTCTTACTTCTCTCTCCTTCACGTGCCTCTGAGTCCCTTCAGAGGGTAGCGACTGTGTGTTTGGTGTCTCTGTGTCGCCAGCACCAGGCCTTTTCTAGAATAGATGCCCTGGATATTTGCTGAGTCGCCTTCCATTGATCACCTGGGCAGCCAGACTGCAGCAGAGCACAGATATCGCCTGGAGTGATGGGAGAGAATTGGGCAGGCCGCCAAGGACCAGGATGGAAATTGTTCAGAATAAAAGTCATTTGTTTGCTTCTCAAGGAAAAATAGTCATTTTTTTTTCAACTAATAATATTAAGCACCTACTCTGTTTGGCATTGTGGGGGATACTAAGAGGTAAAAAATACAGACTCTTTTCTCAAGGGTCTTAAGATTTAGTTATAAAACACACACATAATGACAGAGGAAGGCACAGGTGGCGAGAGCCCTAAGGACGGTATAAACAAGTACCGTGGACCTCAGAGTGGAGGGGCCCAGTGCTGGCTGCGATGGGGCTTTCTGGTCCTGGAGCATCTGTGCTGGACCTTGCGAGGGTGGAGACTGGTGGGCTTGCAGTTTGGGTGGGCGAGGTGGCTGGTGGGGGTGGGTGTTGTGGAGCCCATGGCAGTGCAACAGAATGATCTGAGCAAGGTGTGAAAGTGGAACGTGTAATAGAGGCTTTTGAAATGACTAGGAGTTCCTTGTGAGCTTCCCCCAATTAATTGTTTGTGTGTCTGTGTGTGTTATGTCTGTGTCTCTGTCTTCTAGGCTCAAACCATGAATTACGTGGGGCAGTTGGCGGGCCAGGTGTTTGTCACCGTGAAGGAACTCTACAAGGGCTTGAATCCTGCCACCCTGTCTGGATGCATCGATATCATCGTTGTGCGCCAACCCAATGGGAGCCTTCAGTGCTCCCCTTTCCACGTCCGCTTTGGGAAGATGGGGGTCCTGCGCTCCCGAGAGAAAGTGGTAAGAGCAGAGGACGCGGTGACCTGGGGGACAGGTTCTTTCCTTAGGGGGATTCATCGTGTTTCTGTGGCTTCACATATCCAGGGCTTCTCGCAGACCCAGAGTGAAGCTCTCCATGGAAAGTGCTTTTCACTGAGTTGACGATTATGAATTCACATTCTTCCAGTTACTGTAGCTGTATAAATCACTCCAGAATTGAGTGGCACAAACCATTTATTAAGCTTATGGGTCTAAGGGTCAGGAATTCAGACCAAGCGTAGTGGGGCTGGGTTGCCTCTGCTCTCTGTTGTCTGGGGCCTCTGCTGGGAGGCTCAGTCCTCTGGACTCTTCCAGACGCGCTCACTCCCATGCCTGTGGTTCTTGGCTGGGCTCAGCGGAGGCTGTTGGGCACCTGTACGTGGTCTCATGTGGTGCCAAACGTGGCGGCTGGCTACAGGGGCGAGCATCTCCAGAGAGAGGGAGCCAGGAGGCGCTGTGTTCTTTCTCTGACCTTGCCTGGGAGGGCACATAGCGTCCCTTCTGTTTTGCTCTACTCGTTGGGGCAATTGCAAGCCTACCCCAGCTCAGGGCAGAGGGGAAGGGGGAATAGACTTCGTTTCTCGATGGGGAAGAGCATGTAGGACCAGATCCACCGACTGAGATGTGGAATTGTGAGATATTTTTGGGATGTGTGTCATTAAATATGTAGATTAAGCATGTAGAGATGTGGCCATCCCCCATGAGGTGTCTAGTTAAGAAGACAGCTCCTTGTTTTCTTAAATGTCTCTTTTTCCTTCAGGTTGACATAGAAATCAATGGGGAATCTGTGGATTTGCACATGAAATTGGGAGATAATGGAGAAGCGTTTTTTGTTCAAGAGACTGATAATGATCAGGTAAGGAAGGCTAGTGGTCAAGCTGACTTCCTAGTTTTGAGCGTTGAGCCCTGCTTATCTAGGAGACACAGCGGAAGTGTGTGTGGAGACGTCCTGTTGCCTGGCTGTGTGGACAAAGGCAGCAGAGAAAAGGGGCTGTTTACTGGACAGGATGGGTGTGCACTGTGTCCACACCAGACTCGGCAGTCCTGGCCTGTTTCAGTTGGCTCACTGTTTCCAGGGAGAGACAGAGGAACCGAATCACACTGGCCGGAACCATTGCCCAAAGCATACAAGTCACACTGGTGTGTGAAACCTCAAATGGCTGGATGTTCTAATTTTGTTCAGTGAGTGACCAAAATCACTTTTATTTTTTATTATTTAAAAATTTTAACAACCTTATTGAGATAATTCTCATACCATATAATTTATCCATTTCAAGTGTATAATTCAATGGTTTCTAGTATTTTCACCGATATGCACAATCATCACTACAGTCAATTTTAGAACATTTTCACCACCTCAGAAGAACTCTATACCCTTTAGCTATCACCTGCCCATCACCCCCCCGACCTTCCCCCCAGCTCTAAGCAACCACTAATCTACCTTCTGTGTTTATAGATTCCCTTCTTCTGAACCTTTATATGAATGGAATCGTCTAGTATGTGGTCCTTTGTGCCTGGCTTCTCTCACGTAGCACAGTGTTGTCAAGGTTCATCCGTATTGTAGCGTGTGTCAGGACTTCATTCCTCTGCATAGCCGAATAGTATTTCGTTATATCCACGTACCACGTTTTGTTTATGCTTCCATGTGTTGATGGACACTTGGGTTGTTTCCACCTTTTAGCTGTTGTGAATAATGCTGCTGTGAACGTTCATGTGCAGGTTTTTGCATGGATGTACGTTTTCGTTCTTCTTGGGTATATACTTAGGAGCGGAATTGCTGGGTCTGGTGCTAACTCTGCATTTGACATTTGAGGAACTGCCAGACTGTTGTCCAGAGCTGTTGTACCATTTCACATTCCCACCAGCAGTGCACAAGAGTTCCGATTTGTCCCCATCTTCATCAATATTTGTTATCTGACTTTGTGGTTCTAGCCATCCTAGTGGGTATGAAGTGGTATCTCATTATGGTATTGATTTGCGTTTCCCTAATGGCTAATGATGCCGAGCATCTTCTCATATGCTTGTTGGCTGTTTATATGTATTCTCTGGAGAAATGTCCATTCAGATCCTTTGCTCACTTTTTAATTGGGTTGTTTGTCTTTTTATTATTGAGTTGTAAAAGTTGACTGTATACTCTAGATATAAGTCCCTTATCAGATACCTGAGTTGTAGATATTTTCTTTCTTTGTTTGGGTTGTCTTTTCACTTTCTTGATGATGTCCTTCGAAGCACAAGCGTTTTTAATTTTGATCAAGTCCAGTTTATCTATTTTTTCTTTGGTTGCCTGTGCTTTTGGCGTCATGTCTAAGAATCCTTTGCCACGTCCAAGGTCATGAAGATATACCCCTCTGTTTTCTTTTAAGACAAACCACTTTTTTTTTAACTTGCGTTCACTGAGTAAGCTACTCTGAAGGGATCTGATTTAGTGATTCCTCAATAAAATGCACTCGAACCAGCCCCTTTACGGGAAGACAGCCCGATTGAAAAGGATCAGCTCTCAGTAGCTCCAGGCTCTAAAATGAAGGCCTGTAGCTTCAGTTTCAGAGGATGGTGTGGGAGCCGCAGACCGTGGTGGGCCTGCTAGGCTGGCCTTGCAGGGTTCCTGTGGGTAGGATGGGGCCTCAGAGGCCAGAGTGTGTCCTGCCATACAGATCCCCGTACTGTCCCTGGGAGGCTGCTGGAGGTTGGGAGCCTGTGTCCTGCATCACCAGATTGCCGCACGATGCCGTCTCCCCTGCATCTGCGGAGCTGTGCCCTTCTCTTTTCAGTCCATGGACTCCTCTCTGCTCTTGAGTCACTGTGAGCACTCTGCGTTTCTCATTCATTTGGCCCAGCTGAGCAGCTGGGTGAGATGGCTTCTCACATCCCTTCCAGCCTAAGGCTCCACCCCTCAGATGTGGATTTGATCCGTGTAGCACGTTGGATGTTCTCTAAACCACTTCCAACCATCAGCAGCAAGCTTCTGTGTATCCCACTCTCTCATGTATATTCTTGTTACCAGGTTTCTCATAATAAACACGTCATTCATTAATAAAATGATTGATAATCAAGCAACCATTAAATTGACAGGCCGTGTGTTTTTTCCTTTTGTTTTTAAGAAGAGGATCAATATCTAATTACTCGACAGCCGCATACCTGGACGTGCTCTTGTGCGGCAGGCGAATGGGGACTGTCAGCCGTTTTTATAAAAAAATTATTATTGTCTTAATGCAGTGCGTATTAAAAATGCACACACACAGGCATTTGCTCACTCTTTCACACACACACACACACACACACACACTGATAATTACCTCACTCTGTTATAGTTATGAAAATGCAGGATTCAGTACAAAATGGCATTTAATGAATTGTTGACTTTGTGATCCTCCACCACATTAGGCAGCCACATCCCCAGACCACTGTGGCTGTGATGTTTTGTGACACTGGCCTGCGTGGGCCTCCCTGAGGGGTGCTTGGGCCCCTAAATTAACACTGGCCTTTGGCATCGTCCTGCTTCTTAAACCCAAATTAACAAGACTCTCTTTTGAAAATATTTTCTGTCCTTTAGGAAGTGATCCCCATGCACCTGGCCACCTCCCCTATCCTCTCAGAGGGAGCCTCGCGAATGGAGTGCCAGCTGAAAAGGAACTCTGTAGACAGGATAAGAGGCCTGGACCCCAACACATCAGCCCAAGTCTTACCCCCTAGTGAGACCCCTTCAGGTGGCTCTTTAGGGAAGAAGAGAAGAAAAAGGAGGAGAAAATCCCAGCTGGACACCCTGAAAAGAGATGACGACATGAACACGTCTGAAGATGAAGACATGTTTCCCATAGAGATGAGCTCGGATGAGGAGACCGAACCGTTGGACAGCAGTAGGTAAGTGTGAATGGAAGGCGGGGTCTCTACTGGAATTGGGTGCATTAATTTTGTAAGACGGTTCTTATGAATGCTTTTTCCCCCTAGAATTTCTTAATCTTCTGTTAAAGCATTTTAGACTGAATTTTGGAGTCATGCAGACCCAGTCTTAAAGTTGCATGAAGATTTGGTGTAGCTTATGGCTAAGAGATCATTGGTAACACACCAAACCTCTTAGGCTGATAACATAATGGTTCCAGAACAGAACCAAGACAGGAACTGAGCAAACTAATACTTCATGCATGAAACTGTTATTCAGAACCTATTTATTCTTTTTTTTTTTTTTTTAAAGATTTATTTTTTTTCCTTTTTCTCCCCAAAGCCCCTCGGTACATAGTTGTATATTCTTCGTTGTGGGTCCTTCTAGTTGTGGTATGTGGGACGCTGCCTCAGCGTGGCTTGATGAGTAGTGCCATGTCCGCACCCAGGATTCGAACTGACGAAACACCGGGCTGCTTGCAGCGGAGCGCATGAGCTTAACCACTCGGCCACGGGGCCAGCCCCAGAACCTATTTATTCTTACTTGAGCACCAACTGTGTACATGGCAGGTGGGCTGATTCAGCTGGGGGCTGGTCTGCGATAGACTGCTCCTTTTCACTTGTGCATGGGCCCAAAGTTTAATGGACATCTGTTCTATTTTCCTTTGCTTTTAACAGTGTGGTGAAGTTTCTCTGTATTACTATTTTGGTGAAAAATGCCAGTTTTAAAAGACAAACTCATTTTAGAGAGTGTTTGATGTTTCAGATTTGTGTGTAATTCAGTGTAACTTTTGGTAATTGTTTCCGTGTCTTGTTAAGAAGGGGTAAGGAACATCAGGTATCTTCCTGCTTCATTATTCAGAAGAGGATTTTTTTTCCTGGCTAAAAATAAAGGCAAATTGGCAGTGTCACTTTTCCTAACTGCAGCCTCTCCTCTGCTGCAGGCCCAGACTGGGTGGTTGGGCTTCGTACATTACCTTCCCTCGTGGCTTTTAATTTCCAAACTTAGAGATATTTCAGGTAACATTAAAAATACGGACAGATGGCCTCTGCATGGGTGAAATAGTGAATCATGTTTTGTGATGAGGGTGTTATACCTGAAACAAGGTAGATTTGCAATCATTTCATAATTAGAAGATGCATTTGGTTTAGATCATTTTATTCTGCTAGGTGAGACGTTATCTGTGTGTGGTCATTCTGTTATTTGGCAGTTCCACCCGTGCATGGCAAGGGTTTTATAGCCCCCTGGGTCCAGTTTTGGGCCCGATCTACCTCTCAGGCTTTTGAGAGGTTAAATGTGAAAGGTAGTGACTATATAAGGTGCTACGATGTAAGTAACAAGCAATGTAATCATGTGCAGGTGTCTAGGTCCAAATACTTGAACGCAATAATTTTGCATTTATAATTCAGCCAAAGCATGAACACAGAATACATTTCTGTGTGACTGTATCTCACTTTTTTCCTCTCCACTGCCTGGAGTAAGCGTGGGTGGTTTAAACAGAGGTGGTGTCAATCTACAAAGCACTTAGAGATAATCAAGAAAAAATGGAAACTTGTCTTTATTATGCGTCTATCGCTAATAATTGTTTGACTTTCATATTTTTTTCTCCAGAACTCTTTCTAATGATATACCTCCATTCCAAGAAGATATCCCTAAGGAAAACCTCTCCCCAGTCATGACTTATCCTCAGTCAGCATCGTACCCTAATTCCGATAGAGAGTGGTCCCCCAATACCAGGTATGTTGCTGGTGTGTGTATGTGTGTGTCCACCTGTCTTGGTCCAGAGGATTTGAAGTCAGTTAGAGGAAGCGTGTTTAACAAAATAGTGAAATACAAATAAAAATGAAAATAACTAGGACCAGAAAAAATGCAATTTAAAGTAGGAGGTACAGGATTAAAAACAGATCATGTGCAGATCATGAACTTCTGTCTAATATCATGATGGAACTGCAGATGGGGCTCTCAGCTCCTGAGGTGACGTGGACAGGAAAACTGCTCCTTAAGTTACGTAATGCTGCTTGTCCACAGGAGAGAACAGGTGGTGGCGCCTTTCTTGAGACTCAGCCCTTAGGTAAAATTCAGACCCAGAGAGGTGGCTTCAGAGCCACCGAGGTCCTTCGGGGCTGTTAGAGTGATGCCTTCTCCTCACACGTAATCCATGCTGCTCAATTCGAGAATGTTTATTTTTCTCGAGTTCCAGGGTAAACTTGGGGAACCTGAACTGCTCAGAATGTAGATTGCCTCCTGACAACTCCAGAGACTGTTAAGTCGGTGACACCTGTGAGGCTCTGGGAGCCCTTCCGAGCAGTTTTCAGAGGAACCGGGGAGGGGACAGACCTAAATCGTGTGTTCTCAACAGGGATGAGATCACCCCCACTGGAACAGAAATTGCTTCTTGGACAGCAGAAAATTCTTAGATACTATGGTTTGTGGCCTCTAGAGAGCCAGAGCACGTAAAGAGCTAGAGAGCGTATCCATGGCATTAACAGTTCATGGTGGAGAGAAGGCCATTGGGAAAAAATGTCTCCAAAGGCTCGGGGGTGTGGTAGTGATGGAAAGAGGTTTCCTAGGCTTCCTGCCTAAAACCAGTCTGATCCAGATGCTCCGCCTGGTTCCAGTTTGACCAGAGTAATCTTAACGAGACAGCACAGTCAGCGGTGTGTGCTCTGTTGAGGTCGGAGAAAAAGAGATATGTCACATATGTCACGTGCCTGGTTTCCAGCCAGGACTGTGACAGTAACTGTTAGTCAACCCGAGTGGGGTGGGGGCCTGTGAAGCCCCCTCCTCGAGGTCTGTCTGTCTTCAGACCAACTCTGTCTGATAGAAACATTGTGCTAACTGCATTCGTAATTTTAAATTTTCTAGTAGCCATCCTTAAAAAGTAAAACAAGGAAGCGATGAAATTAATTTTTGTGATGTATCTCATTCGATCCACTATATCCAAAATATTACCATTTCAAGTAATCAGTTTAAAAAAATTATTAATGAGATATTTCACATTCTTGTTTCCACACTAAGTCTTTAAAATCGTTGTGTATTTCATACATGCAGAACATCTCAATTTGAACGAGTCACATTTCAAGTGCTCAGTAGCCACATGCAGCTAGTGGCTGTCACATTGGACCGTGCTACGAGACCATTCTAGAACCTCATATGTTCTCTCCATAGGTCTGTGGAGAGACACCCTCAGGAGGGAAAAACACAGCACTTTAGGGAGAAAATTATGTGGAATAGTTAGAAACCACTAATAAGTGAAAAAATCTGTTGAAACACTACATTAATTTTAAGAATTTAAAATAAATATTTTAAACACAACCCTGAATTTATTTCTTTCACGTTTTGCTTTATGAATCCAGAATAATGACCGTGTCAGATTATATGGATCTGACCACTGTCGAATGCAATTACAAATTAGGATAAATAGATACATTCACATACTTAGAATTATGTATTTTCTTTAAAGGGACAATTGATAGCACACATTATCAAATCTTTGCAGTTTGTAGTTTGATTAAGCACTAAATTCTGGCCAGAAAAAATTCTGACCATGAAAACAATCTTTTATGGGCATGTGGATGAAATAGAAAGTGAAATGGGTCTTTGGGCAGTTTCCTGTTTTTGTGTTTCAGAAATTTCTTGTTGATTTCTTAGTGATTTCAACACGTAGTGCTCTGCTGTTGTCAGCTGCCTCCGTATGTTCATCTTTTTACAAACGTTATTGTTGAGAGTAGTCAAATAATTTATATGAAGTTCCATTTAATTTAATTGACCTGTGATCTTTTCTTTCTTTTAATGTCTATCACGTGGTATCCAGTAGCCCGCTAGATTGCAAAAGGACTCACCTCCATCTGGCAGTTGCGGCCGAGGGAGGTCTTTCTAGCTCTTGTCCTCCGCAGTCTTCCCACTTCCGTGCTTCAGACAGGTAGAGAGGTTCCTTTCCCCGCTTGGCTGTCTTCAATAATGAGAACTTTGATCTAACTCTGAGAAATCTGTTTTACCATTAACCGAATTACTTATGTAGAAAATACATGTTGAAAATATGAAGTGAAAATTTTAATCTAACTCTTATAAATCTATTTTACTAACCAAATTACTTGTGAAGAAAACACGTATAAATCATTATTTTCCTTTCATTTTTAAGCATTCGTAGATTATTATAATTTTTTAAAGTGCTAAATTTGACTCTCTGGAAATAAGGGGTAAGCATATAATTCTTCCTAGTTCTGTGGAGTGCTTTGAAAAACAGAATAATGGAATAAAGTTGGGGGATGTGATCTTTTGCTTTGTGTCTAGGGTTGTTCAACAAATGAGTTTACGAGATTTTTTTTAGCGTGCCACTTTAGTGTAACGAAGCTATTCCAACTCTTTGAATAGCTCACGAGACTTTCTGAGTAACGGAATCAGATATTTCCAGGCATTTCTGGAAAAGAATTTTGGAGAATCGCGTAGGATGGGTGTTAAGGCTTAGGATCCTAGGTTTATCTTTCATTTGATGGGTGGTCCAGATCTCTGCCTTGGTTCCCTGAATGTTTCCGCACTTTGACCTGCCTACTTTACAGACGTGTGAACTCTATGAACTCCAGCAAATGAAGCCTTGATTAATTTCTACATGGGAACTGTCTTTCTTTTGATGAAAGAACTGAATCTTTGGAAGTGCTTCGTTCAGAGGTCACATGTGCAGAGGAAAGGCCATTTTAAATGAAGCAAACTAAGTGTGAGCAATTATAACTAATTGCCTAATTGGGACTGGCAAAAATACTGAAAACTCTTAGATGGCTAATCAGTGCATTATTTATGAAAATCAGTCAGTGACCTTGTAAACTTACTTTTTTGAACAACCCTTGATCTTAAAAGTCTAATATCTAATAATGGGAAATTTGGAATCATCTTTCTCATCAGTCACACTCAGCATCGAGAGTCTTTTCCCTAATTCATCTCTGTCATCTGAATTCCCTCAGGAGTCGCAGCACGTGCACATGTGTTGGTGTAGAGTCCTGTTGAGAGGGCAGGTGTGGCCTGAGGGGCCAGTGTTTGCTGTGGTGGCATATTGAGTGTGAGGGGGGAGCTTCCATCTGTGGTTTCACACGGGGCTTGGTTCTTTATGAACAGGAGTTTACAAACCTGAATGCCTCTGTGGAAACCTTAGGCTCACAGCTTTTGTCAGAGGGTCAGAATATCAGGGATCCTGGTGTTGGGAGGTGTTGCCAGAGAGCTGTGTTCAACATACGCATTCTTCTAGAGCAGGGCTCAAGCAAACCACAGCCTGTGGGCCAAACCTGGCCCCCCATCTGTCTTGGTAAAGTTTTCTGGGAGCACAGGCAATTTGTTTACTTACTGTCTGTGGCTGCTTTTGAGCTACAAAGGCAGAAGTGAGTAGTTGTGACAGAGATCGCATAACCCTCAAAGCCTGAAATACTATCTGGCCTTTTACGGAAAACGTTTGCTGACCCCCTCCTCCAGAGCAAGCGTAATCTAAAGGGCTTTACTTAATTTAGTGCAGCGGGTAAGATAATTTATTGTTCCAAAGAATTTATAAGAAAATATAAATTATATTTTTATGCGGTAAAATATAACAGCGGGAGCTTTTTAAACAAATGGTTTGAGGTTTGCGGGCAGCGCTGTTGCGGGAGGAAGCCAGTTGCTGTGGACTTTTCCGTGATGGCCCTGGAGGGAGATTGGGTTCAGGTCACGGTTGCAGGAACACCGGAGGCCTCCACATTCCCTTTGCACGTTTCACTGATAGTGAACATATTGTGGACGCTTCAGGGCCAGAAATGCAGTGACCCTTTGGAGAAAAGCATAATCATGGAACTAGAGGAAGCAGGAGAGGTTGCAAGGGGATGGACACACTGCCACTCAAATATGCGGAGTGCCCAGTATTCCTTCTCGTGGGACTACAGTCACATGTTGCTTCATGAAGGGGATGCGTTCTGAGAAATGGATCATTGTGCAAACATCAGAGAGTGTACCTACGCAAACTGAGATGATATAGTCCCCTCACACCTAGGCTGTGTGGTACTAATGTTATGGGACCGCTGTCATATATATGGTCTGTCGTTGACTGAAACGTCATGTGGTGCACGCCTGTACTTCCTAAAGGGCAGAAATGTGTGTGTGTGTGTCGGGAGAGGTGTTCCACTGTATACCCTCTGGCGGTATGCTATCTCAGGATCCTCCTCTCCACGGACTGGTGAAACAGCTGAAACAGAGGGCTGCTCTGTAGCAGCGTGCCAGTGAGGTGGTTTGGTGGACAGTGGGCACCAAGGGAGAAGGAACCAGCCTGTGTACATGTCAGTGTGACGTGAAGGAGGTCCCAAGGACTTGACTAAAGAGATCGAGGACCACTTTAGCCATTAAGGGTCCCTGTTTGTTTGATACAGGTTAAGTATCATCCACAAGCTCTCATCCTGGCAGGAAGCTTGTATTCAGTTGGGGTTGAAATCTGACTCAACAGCTAAATGAGACCAAGTGCGCTGATGAGATGTGACTTCAGAGACAGTGCGAGGTCTGTGGAAGAAGATGCAAAAGGAAAATTCTGGAAGCTTTATTTCCTGCTTTGTTTAAAACTGCCATCTTACTCTCCAGGGAATGATGCAGGAGAATAAGGCCAGAACTAATTAAATGGGTATTTTTTCTCACGTGTTTATTGTTTTGAATACTGTGAGAGTTTTGTAGCCAAGTTTGATACTCTTGACCGGTTACTCTGGCTGGACGGAAGGAATACGTTGTTCAGATCTCGAGTCAAAATATGGAAAGCGTAGAGATGGGAACGCAAGTTACAGCCACTTAAAAGCTGGCCTGAGGATTAAGCACGGTGATGCGTTGTTACAGGAGAGCCTCAGCAGATGGGGCATCTTGGAGGTATTCCTGGAAGATACGGTGTTTTACAGAATCTCGCCTTGGGTCTCCTGCCATGTTATTTGTGGCATCTGGCATGTGTAGTAAAGTTGGCACGTGATGCAGCTTCCTTGTTTTCAGAGCCGGTGCAGATTTATCAATATTTTAAATGCAGACTGTAATGAGTGCGTCAGAGATGACCAGGACGCTCTTGCAGCTGTCTGAGAGTTGAGTCTTGATTTGGAAAGTGAGAATGCAGGAGAGGTGAGCTCAGGGTGAGGTGGGGAAAGGTGGCTGGGTTTTGGGGTAAGAACAAACTTTTTTTTCCTTTCTCTTTTCATCTCTCTTTTTTTCGATTTTCCTTTTTAAATGCTACTTCTTCTCATCTTTACTTGCCTGGTATTTGGACCTGTGATCTGTGGACCCCTGGTGGCCACAGATGGGATATGTCAGGAAGCTGCATTCGTAAGGGAACGGTGGCTTGGGTGCGTTTTCTGGGCTATTTGAACCCTAAAATTCTGGGCCAAAAACATTTTTTAATAAATTTTCTCTTCCCACTTTAATCACGGATTTGTGTTTTCTGAAGTCCTTCAGGTTCCCGACCTTCGACACCTAAAAGTGATTCAGAATTGGTCAGTAAGTCCACAGATAGGACGATGCAGAAGAATAACCTAGAAATGCTCTGGCTTTGGGGAGAATTGCCACAAGCTGCCAAGGTAAGTTCTTTTCCTCAATTCTGCCATACGCTGAAGATAGTTTCTGAAAACATGAAATGGACACAATCTTTTCCTTCAAGAAATTGTATTTCATATTCCAATGTATTACAAGAATCTTGAATATTATATTGCAAGCTGGTTTTTTTTTTTTTTTTTTAATATTGTAATGTCCTTAGAAGATGCTGTGGCCTCTTGTATCCCCAGTAAATGCTTGTCATATGAATGAATGAGTGAGTGAAGATTGACAGCATCCCTATTAAGAATCAAGGTGGGCAACTCCTTGGAGAGTAGGTCTGTTGAGGCTAAAGTTGTGGATTCCATCTCCTTCCAGGTTATATTTAGCTTTCACAGAAAATGCTGATTTCTCTGCCCACAGGCCGTAGTGCTGACCCCGCCAGCCGTCTTCACAGATTCGTGTCATTCGATGCCGTTGGAGAAATGGCATCAAAGTGCAAACCCATCACTTCTTCTGGCGAAACACTTGGCAGCCACCGATCTGCTGTCGCGTTGTTTTCATTTTTGCTGGGAGCTGTGAGATCGGATACAGAAATGAATCCCTCCCCTCATTTCTAACCCATAAATTGCATTTCGGGTTTTGTTTGGATAAATTTTTTTCCGTAACTGGAAGCTCCTTGGAGAGGTAGAATCAGAAATGCTGATTTCTCACTTGAGTGAACTGACCACCGCAGCTTTCCCTGTTTGCTCACAATTTGGGGGTAAACTTTATTGAACTATAACACACATACAGAAATGCTGAGATCCTAAGTGCACAGATCAATAAATTTTCACACTATGAACATGTCTGTGCGATCTGCACCCAGACCGAGAAGCAGGACTTAATCAGCCACTTGGAAGTGCCGCCCCCGCCCCCCCCTTCGCGGTTGCTGCTCAGACCGGCCCGACAAGGACAGATGCGGTCCTCGCTTGAATGGCAGAGATTAGTTCTGCAGCATTCGTGATGTGCGCATGATCGGAATTTGCTTATTCACGTTACTGTGGGTACCCACTGTGCGCACGGACCTCCATTCTGCTGGTGGACATTTCTGTTACTTCCACCTGTTGGCCGTTACTGATCTCGCTTCTCTTTGGCAGTTGATGTTTTTGTATGAAAATTCATTTGTTTGGAACTAATGTTGTTGGTTTCCAGACCTTTTGGCGGGTGTGGGAATCACCAGGTGATGCCTGAGGCTTAAGGGTCTCCCTGTGCAGCGTGTGGACAGTGCTGCAGATCAGCAGTTGACTAATTGTTGTTCTTGGTTAGCTCAGTTTTTCCGTTTGACCTGACTCTCTCTCTCTCTCCCTGTCCCTGTCCCTTTGATCAGTCGTCTCCACACAAGATGAAAGACTGCAGCCCGTTGTGCAGTAGAAAAGTCTGTGATAAAATGCACTTTGAGGCCATTCATAGCGAGTCTTCAGATGCCTTCAGTGACCAGTCGCCCACACTGCCCAGGGGGCGTCCTCCGCAGCCGCTGGAGGAGCAGAGCAAGTCTCAGACAGAGATGCAGTTTGTGAATGAGGAGGACGTCGAGGCCCTGGGAGCAGCAGCCCCGCCCTTACCGACGGCTGAAGAGCCCAAGCCGCTCTCTGCCAGCCCAGCCCCGACAGCGACGGCCAGCAAGACAGAGTCTCCTTCTCGGAAAAAAGGTGCGAAGGCTGGTGCGGCCAGCTCCTTGTGTATGGAGGTGGCGCCCTGCAGACTGCGGTGCCTTCCTTCCGAAGGCCAGAGCTCATCACGGTGGAAACAGAGCTGTATCCTCCCTCGCGTTCAGTCTCTGCTGTTTGAGGAGTATATGGGTTATCAGCATTTAGTCATAGGAGGTCAGACCTAAAGGGGGCCTTGGGGACCGTGTAGGAGCCCCCTCTTTACGATCAGGATGCTGGGATCCAGAGGGACTGAGTCCTTCCGGACACCCTGGCATCTGGGAGAAGTTGCGATTGAGCTAATGTCCCCTTGCCCCTAGTTTCTCTCTAGTGCATTTCTCTGTTTTGATTTCCGTACCCTGTTCGTCACTATTTCTAACGGTCGTTGTTGGTTTGTTGCCTGGCTCCCTTTCTAGAGCATGTGCTCTGTGAGATCAGCACTCTCTTTGGTCTGATTTACCTTGGTTTCCTCGGTACCTAGACTAGTGGTTGGCACTAGAAGATGCCCCATAAACCCTGGGAGCACTGATGTCAAGCCTAATCTGTTAGCCACACCGTGTTTGCAGTGTTCTAGGTTTCTGTGAACCAGTGACAGCATTCTCTGGAAGAAGGAAATAGGAAGTCTGCCATCATGGTGTGTGGTGGCCGATGTGCACCATGAGGGTGCTTGGGAGTGCTGATGGCGAAGTGCTTAATGAAAGCTTTATCCTTTAATAATAATAGTAGTAGTGGTAATCGCTTCGAGATATCGAGTGCCCAGTGCACTTCAGGCACTTCCCAGATGGGGAACTGAGGCTCAGCAGAGTTACCTGACCTGGCCAAGGCCGCAAGGTGGGCGAGTGATGGAGCCACACGCGGACCTGGGCTGGGGGCCTCTATAGGACCGCTGCACTGCGGGCTTCTCACTCCTGTGCTGCTTGGGCCGGTTTGGGTACTTCTGAGCAAATTTGCATACTGTGCTTAAATGCTCCTTCTAGAGACCCCCAGAAGTCCATGCTGTTGTTTCTGGAAGATCAGTGTTCTGACTGGGCCCATTTGCTCTTTCAGACAAGCGAAGCCGACACCTGGGTGCTGACGGCGTCTACTTGGATGACCTCACAGATATGGATCCTGAAGTGGCTGCTCTGTATTTTCCCAAAAAGTAAAACTTCTTTTTATTCTTCCTGTCATTTTCTGTAATCTGAGTGTTAATCTGTGAGTCCATTGTTTTCCTTATATTTAGTTAGGAAGCTAGTAAGAAAAGGCAGCAGGAGGCTCGCATTTCACTGAAAAGCAGCCAGTTTAAAACAGCGGACTTTCTCTGTGGACGTGGGTGCTTGGCCGTGTGTCCATGTGGCTGGCTCTCCACCTTCTGAACAGGAATGCGGGCACGAGGCCGTCTCCCGTGATGACACTGAGTTTGTGTCGCAGTGGTCAGTGGCCCTCGACTCAAATCAGTGGCAGAGAGATCCCCGTTCCCAGGAGAGAGTCTCTGTGGCCCTTGGGGCCCCATCTTCAGTCCTGTGATTGGCGGTGCTGGCCAGCTCCTTGGCGGGTCATAACGGGGAGCTGTGGCCTTGTAGGACAGCGTGCTTTCTCTTCACTTCATTTCACATGGGTTGGGAGGGGATACAAGGGGATGTAACAGGCTAAAAATAGCTGTTTTCTCTCCTAAGGTCAGTCACTTAACTTGTCTGTCTTTGTCATGGTGCTTTGATGAGCGCTCTGTCCTGAGATGACATCAGTAGCTGTCTGAGGGGTAGCGGATTGCTAGAGTCTTTTGGTGACTGTGTAACACCCAAGACAAGGAGAATCCTCAACATTTTTCACTCTTCCTCCTTCCAGCGGAGATCCTTCTGGCCTCACAAAACATGCCAATGACAATGGAGCCCGGTCAGCAAGCCAGTCCCCGCAGTCCGTGGGCAGTTCTGGCGTTGACAGTGGCGTGGAGAGCACCTCGGACGGCCTGAGGGACCTGCCGTCCATTGCCATCTCCCTCTGCGGGGGCCTCAGCGACAACAGGGAGATAACCAAAGGTATTGTGCTGGGTGTTGGAGCTGGTCTTCAAGCCAAGAGCACCCTCTTGTGGCAGCTGGTCAGAATGTCCAGAAGCTGGACTTCTATAATTAGTGCTTTTCACTTGGCTGGTTAATGATAGCACCAGTGACTCATTGTTGCTTATGACCCAAATGTTGCTGGCTTGCAGTTGGCTGACCTCAGGGTTCGGTTGGTCACACATGGCTTCAGGTAACAAAAAGGCCGTCAGGGTCACTTGTCATCGGATGTGTTTGCTGAGCACGGTGTGTGTCTCCTTGGCCCGTGCCTGTCCTGCAGATGTGTCCTCCGGAGCCTGCAGCCTGGTGGGAATGTCAGTATTATGCGTGTTGGAAGTGTGCAGGAATGCAGTGGGGACCTGGAGGAGGGACGCCTGTCTGAGTTTGTCTGAGCAAGTGCAGGGAACCTTCCTGGCTGGATGTGAAGGGCGCCCCTGGGGTTGGCTTAGGCAATGAATTAATTCATAGCACCCGTCACATTTGTAACAATGATTTCCGCCCAGTGTCTCATGACAGGTGCATGGGGAGGTGGCTGGAGACCCCTAGTCTATGCAGTTGGCCATTATCAACTGAATTCCTTGACCTTATACCCCTCGGTGTCCTTCTTTGACCCCTCCCACCTGCTTTAGGCAGGACACTGCGCTTTTCCATTCATGACCTTATCTGTCCTCACAGCCACTGAGGAGGTGGGCATGGTTATTATTCCCGTGTCACGGGTGAGGGAACTGAGGCTTGGGGAGATTAATCCCTTGCCCAAGGTCACGCCAGTGAACGTGACTGGGACCGAGGTGGCCTGGTTTCCAATCCCTGCTCACTGTCCATCTGCTCCTGCAGATGTGCGTGTGTGCTGGGCTTTCACACACCTGCTCCTGCGTGACCGCCTCCTCGGACGGCTCCTGCCTCCGCCGTTTCTGCACGGACGCTGCCCCTCAAACGCACTGAAGCCCCCTTTGCAAATGTGTTTATAGAGTTGTCCTCACAGCCGGCACACATAAACCCTCAGAGAAGGCTTGGGAATGAGTGAGTGAAAACTAGCCCTATGTTTTTGAACCAAATTTCCTTATATTTGCCCCCACCCCGTACGATTGCTTTCACAGATGCGTTTTTGGAGCAGGCGGTGTCGTATCAGCAGTTTGCGGACAACCCTGCCCTCATTGACGACCCCAATCTCGTGGTGAAGATCGGGAATAAGTGAGTTCCCCCAGTCGCGTGGTACCATCTCAGCTTCAGTTTTTCAAATACAGAGACCCAGACAATCGGTTTTAGAAATAAATCAAATAAAGTCTTTTTAAGAGTTGCTGTTGTCAGTTCACTGTTGGCAAGACACTGTGTTGCTCTGTAGTTGGTGGGTCGATGTAACTTCCGATCTTGTGGCTCTTTCTCTTTGTCGGTGCTAGATTTATAATGGAGTTTGTAAAGTCACGGTGCGTGGCCTGTGGGACTTGGGCCCGTAGTGCACACGAGCGTGACAGAATAGACTGCATAGCCACCCCTCGAGAGCTCCGTTGTCTGAGGTCGAGGGCTGCAGGTGTTTCTGTAGACTGTTGGCAAACTTTTCTCCCCGAGGAGAAGTCATGGGTGCTTACGTGTTCACTAGGGCCCCGAGTTGCCTTTTCCTTGAAGCGCGGCAAGATGTGCCACAGACACGTTGGTGGCTCGATGCACAGTTGAGCTTGGGCTGCTCTCCAGCTGGTCGCTGGGGTCTCTCACCACATCTGACTGACTCTGCTGCCATGATGGCTGCTCGGCCCCTCAGTGTGGCCGCTGTGGGGTTAGACGGAGGAGGAGGCCACTTCACGGGCGGGGCGTGCGGGGGAGGGCTGGGGGTATTTGCCACAGTATTGGGCTCTTTAAGGACCCAGCTGGAGTTCCGGAGCTTTCCATGATTGCTTCTCATGACATTAGAAAGATTTTGCAGTCTGAGCCTTCGTCTTATATAACATCTTTTCCTTGTTTCATGTTAGATATTATAACTGGACAACAGCGGCACCTCTGCTCCTGGCGATGCAGGCCTTCCAGAAACCTCTGCCAAAGGTGAGCGTTAACACGAGAAAGAAAAAGGGGCCCTGAAGATGGCGGCTAGATTAACCTGGGCCGTTGGAATTTAACTCTTGTTTTAAAAGCCAGAGGGTTAGTTACATTGTGCTCTTTCGAAGTTCACAAGTATCGATGTCAGGAGTTTCCAGTCTCTCTCTTGCGCCTCTTGCACCTTGAACGTCCTTCCCCCTCCTGCTTATCAAGGCAAAACCTCCCAGTTGTGGCCGTGGTGGAGCAAGTCCTGCCTCCTCCACGGTTCCTTCCTCAGCACCTGCTGTGCTAGGACACAGGTCCGGGCAGAGCAGGTGGATGCGGATGTCAGAGCCCAGGGATGATGAGGGGAGAGGAGTGAAGGCTGCAGCAGGCAGCGGGTGGGGCACAGGGAGGCCACACAGCAGACGCCAGGTGCAGCGCCAGGCAGGAAGCACGCCCGGGGCCTGAGTGGCCAGGAGGAGCGAGTGCAGGGCCTGGGCGGCTCCTAGCTGCGCGGGAGAGCGGTGAGTGGCTGCGGGAAGAGGCAGGCTTAGAGGGCAGATGCAGCCCTGCAGCTGCTGCTCCCGTCTTCCCCGCAGTGCTCCATTCAGCCTGGAATTGCTCATGTGTTCAGTGTGGTGTTTTCCTACTGGGTTATACCTCCTTCTTGCTGCTGAGACCGTGTCTTACCCTTGTATCCTTCGTACAAGTAGCAAGCGCTTTGTACCACTTTGGCTGTTATCCTGTCAGGTAGTTCTGATGTCTGAGGCTCTCGAAGGTCTTGTCTGACTTGGTTGAGGCTATGCTTGCTCCTTCCTGGGTGTGTGTGTGTGTTGTGTTTTGGGATTCAGGGGTTGTGACCTCATCTTTGGTGGGACTTTATCTGTGGATATTCTTTGTACACTGGCTGAGGGCATGTTCTCCAGAGTGAGTCTTGTTGTGTCCCTGCCAGGTGCCTCATTGTATCCATGGCCCAGCGCAAATGGTTAGGTTACACGTCTCAGCTCTTACAAATCCTAAGAAAAAAGGCCAGTGCAATAGAAATGTAGTTAAAGGATGTAGTTCACCGAACAAGAAATACACACGGCTCCTAAACTTAAAGAAATTAGTCTTTGTGATAGGTCTTCTAAATGTTTTTTCCAGGTTGTCAGTAATTTTTGACTCTGTTTATGGTATTTATCTAATATAGAAATTATTTTTATACGTGGAATTTGTCACTCTTTTGTTTTGTGGCTGTCAGATTTTGTATCACACTTAGAATGGCCCTGCTTCCCTATTTCCAAAATTTGTGAAGATTTCCCCTGTCTTTTCTTCTCGTGCTTTCTTAAATCTTTGATCTGTCTAGATTTTATTTTGAGAGTAATGAGTGAGGTGTCGGGAACCAAATTATTCCACAGCTGGTTACTGGATCAGTTAGGATGTTTTGGTTGCAGGAAGCAGCGTGACTAACAGTGGCTTAAATAGTGGGGATTTGTTGTCCTGCATGGTAAGAACCTTAGGTCAGTTGTTTGAGGCTTGATGCCTTTGGGTTAGCTGCTCTGATTTTCTGGGCTTTCCCTTTATGATCACAAGATGACTGCTCTGCACATCATTTCTTCATGCAGCCACATCCAAAACAGGAAGGATAGAGGCAGACTTCTCGCAGTTGTCAGCCACAGCTTGGTCACGTGATCACCTCCAAACCCACTGTCGGCAGAACAGTGGAATGACTCTGAACGGTGTAGACCCATGGAGGTTCGTCTTCTGGAATTGAGCTTGCCTTCCCAGAACATCCCACAGCCAGATTCTTGAACAGTCTTGACTCTGTTGGCAAGAAAGAAGGGAGATGATGTACCAGGGAGGCAACTCCCAGGGTCTGGCATAGCTACTTACTTATCCCAGTACCATTAGCTAGATAACTCATTCCCCCACTGATGGCAGTTACAACTTTATCATATATTACATTTCTTTATGAATTTAGATTTATTTCTGGTCATTGTTTTCTGTTCCACTAATATGTTTGCTTATGTACCAGCACTGTATTCTTTTCATTACTGGAGCTTTTAAGTATATTTTAATATCTCATAAGGCATGTGCCTGCTTATTATTACTCTTGTGTCTGAGAATGTTCTTAACCAGTTTTGTTTGTTTTGTAAATGAAATTTAGAATCCGTTTGACTTGGTCTGAAAATAACTGTGTTAATATTTTTTAAATTGAAGTTTTGTTACAGGGAAATGAATTTAGAGGGAGTAGGGTCATTCCCACCTTTATGGATTGCCTTGCCCTGAAGAGGGGCTGCCTGGTTTGCTTTGTAGTATTCAGGTTTTCTTTGGTGTCAGGTAGGGATTTTCGGATGATAAAAGGAAGCACACTTCAGGCTAAATATGTGAATTATTTATCTTCTTACATGCAAGCTGTTAGGTTGAAAGACTTACATCTTCCTCTCCTCCTGGCTGAGGTGTCACCTGCCTGGTGGTTCTGTAAACCCGGGAAGGAAGGTCATCTTGGCACTGGGATTGGCCTCACGATACATGCTTTGTTCTTTGGAAATACGTACAAAATTATTAATTAGTATTTAATGTTCTCCCGTCAAACTTTCATTTGTTTAGGGCAAGAGTATGAATTTTCTTTTTAATACTTGAGATTTTAAATCAAATGCACCTATTAATGTTCATTTTGTCAGAATTTGGAAATGTACTAACAAGATCCTGCACGTTTTACCTTTCGTTTAAGACTCTCTTACCCTAGTCCCACATTAATCATGTCATTTTTTATTTTGCGATCATCACATTGAGAGTAACAGTATCTTAACAGGAAGCCGCTTTAATTTGAGAACTTCTGGTCTTACTAATCACTAACGGTTTTCAATGCTTTCTTTCTTTTGTTGTTGTTGTGTTGCATTTTATTTGTTGTTTGTTTATTCCGTTAACATCTTCCCAAGTCCTCATGCTTAAGTTACCTTAACGTGATTTTGGACGCCATTAGGTTTTGCTTCTCGAAAATTTTTAATCCACAAATAGTATGTTGTGTTTTCTCTGATTTTTCCTTTTTTTTTTTTTTTTAGTCTTACTTTAATTTGCATGTCCGTTTCTTTTGGTTTGAATGGGCTAAGTTGATCTTTTTTTGGTTCCATTATTTATGTTACCATCCGTTTAAAACAGGCCACTGTGGAAGCTATCATGAGGGATAAGATGCCCAGAAAGGGAGGAAGATGGTGGTTTTCATGGAGGGGAAGAAATACCACAATCAAGGAGGTAAGCACAGAAAACAAAAGAATGCCTCCACTTGGCTCAGCCAATTTTGGGTTTGTGTGGTGGAGATTATAGTGGAGTTCGTTGTCAGGCTTTTGTGTTGGAGAAATAAGCATGAGCCATAACAGTGAGTTTTCAGGAGCCACCTCTGCCGCGAAGCAGGGAAAGGCATCACAGAATGTGGGGACGGCAGAGAAGGGTCTGGAAGAGTGAGCAGAGAGTTGGGTTCTCCCTCCTGGCTCTGTTAACTTATTTAGCTTGGAGACCACGGTCAAGTCACTGCCTCGCTGGAACGTTTCTTCATCTGTAAAAAGAAAGTATTTGACCTGATAGCTTAATTGTTTTTTTTTAAGTTAAGTGTCTTCCCGTGGCTTGTAGGACAGTTTTATTAAAGAGCTAGACTTCCAGAGGTGGACTCACCCTCGTTAGTCATTCCACTTAGCGTGTCTGAGTATACGTGGCTTTGGTTTCCGTTTCTATAAATGCCTGTAATTTTTTCCAGATCTTTGTTAACCTCTCAACCTGTTTCTTGCGGCACTTTCTTTGCTTGGCTTGCCTGCTGTTGTCTACCTGGCTTTCCTCCTCCTGGGGCCGTTCCTTCTGTGGCTCAGTTTCCCACAAGAGGGTCCTCAAGCGTTTTCTCAGGGCCCCTCTTCTGCTTTCACTGCCTGCTTTTCTCTAGGCAGCCTCACCCATGCCCACATGTTGGCTCTGTTTTTATTTCCAAACTAGACATTGTTTTGTGTTCCACGTCTGTTTATCAGATAGCCAACTAGGTAGACATTTCCACATGGGCACGTCAAGTGCCTCAAACTCGTCATCCCTAAAATTGAACTGATGATTTTCTTGTGAATTCTCCTTTTGTTGGACCAGTTAGAAGTGGCAGCCACTGTGCATCCTTAGGCTAGACACTTCCTATTTCCTCAGTCTTCACGTGCAGTCGTATTTACCATCGTAAGTACTTCCTAGATTTTCCCTTTCTTTCCAGCTCCACTCCCACAAATCTAGGCTACCACCATCTCTCCCAGGCTTGCTGCTCAATAGTCAATTTGTATCCATTCTTGCCTCTTTCCTCATTCTCTGTGCTGTAGCTGTGTTCGTCTATTTAGGATATGGGTCCAATTTATGCTACTCCCTGCTTAAAACTTTCAGTGGGTTCCCAGGGCTCTTATACTTCAGACCAGTATCCTTAAGATGGACTACAGGACCTGCGTCTTCTAGCTCCTGCCTCTTTCTATGGCCTTATCTTTTATCGTTCTGCCCCTGCTGTGTGTGTTTTAGCCTCACTGGCTGAGAGTACATTCTACCCCAGGACCTTTGCAGGTGTTATTTTCTCTGCCTAGTTCTTAGGACCCCTCTCTCCCTTCTTCCTTAATTAACTAGCATCTCAAGTGGTCCTTTCTTAGCAGATGAGTCTGGACTGCTCTTTGCTCTCATATACCTTTACCTTCAAAAATTTTGTCAGAGTTTGCAATGATTAATTTGTAAACTGAATGTGACTATTTGATTAACATCTCTTACCCCTCTGGACCCTAAACTCCAGGAAGGCAGAGCCCGTGTGTGGCTCCGATCCCTGTGGTAGCCCTTGTGCCCATATTGGACCCAGAGCAGGCGTTTGGCAAATACTTGTTGAGGGAAAGCCGATAGAAAGCCCACGGATAACACTCAAGTGGGTGTTATAGCAGTGACGGGAACTCAGTGAGCTCAGTTTATCTATTCGGTTGGTTCAGAAGGAAAAAGTCTGTTGGAAGAGTCACATCAAGGTAAAGTTGTCAAACCTGCGTTTTACTGATTGTCCCTTATCTCCCAGGGTTGTGGACAAGGTGGAGCACCCACGTGCTTTCCTTCAGGGGACTTAAGGCATAAACAGCCTTCCTAGTTTCCTTGCTAGGGAGCAGAATGTTCTAGAATGTAGGCAGAAGGCTATTGCAAAGGCCTGTTTATTGTCGAGTATCCAAATTCTCACCAGCTTGATTTGAGGAAAATACGAGCATGAAATAGGGAAAGCTGTGAAATTAAATTTTCTTAAAAAAACTGAAATATGTTTATTTCAGATAGATATATTTTTGAACTAGACTAATAAAGAATTGTTAATAGTGGCTATGTTACCTGCCTCACTAAATAGATTAAAAATTAACTGGGCATGTTTTCATATCAATTATTTGTGTGCTTATAAAAAACTAAAGAATATTTGAAAATAGTTTGTAGTCATCATGTGTTAAGATGGTCACCCTGCTTATCATTTATTTCACTCATTTGCTGACCAAATGACAACAAATAATGATATTTAGTGGTATATCCTTTGACACCTCTGTGTGGGCTCTGATGACTTCCCGTGGAGTCCGGGGCTCGTGGCTGTCTTCCTCCTCCCTTGCCTGCCAGGTGCCAGGCTCTGTGTTTATGTGCAGCATCTCCATAGTCCTCAGAGCAGCGTTAAGAGATAGGCATTGTCATCCTGTCTTGCAGGTGGGGAAACGAGGCTCCAGAAGGTTCTGTGACTTGCCCCAGGTTCCTAAGTGAGAGAAGCAGGACTGGGCCCAGATCTCTTAGAATTCCTGGGCTCTTTCTGGTATATCACAGGAGCATTTTCTAGTAAGAGTGTGCAGTATTGACAAAGAGGGAATGCCTCCACACTTTTCCCAAGCGAAATATGGTGTGAAAATATTTTCAGGCATTTCTATCAGCAATTAAAAGAAAATATTTTGAAAGCCCTCGGGTATCTAGGCAGCCCTTGATAAAGCATTTGCATCAGCTGCAGTGATGATGGAGTTTGGTTTGGTTCCACACACACTTATGGAAAACAGACTCATTTCTGTCAAAAATACTTCTCAGCTTACTTGTATCCCTCTGAGCAAAGGCATAACAGGGCCTGCCGTCCTGGGGGCTGTGCTTTGGGAAGGCGTGTGGGCCCTGCCCTGGGCTTAGGAAAGAGGGTCCATTGCAGGACACCAGCGGGCGCACAGGCACTTCTGTTTGGTGCTCCTCTGACTTTATTTCTTTCTTCCCCAGGAGAGTAAGCCAGAGCAGGGCTTGGCTGGAAAGAGCCACAGCACCGGGGAGCAGCCGTCACAGCTTGGCATGGCCACCAGGTACAGTGAGGGTCACCTCGTGTGCTGCAGCTCCTTCCTGTGTCCAGGGTCATGGCGCGTGCCCATCGCATGCTGATCCGGTTCACCCAACAGCACAGGCCCTGGACGCAGGCCGACCCGGGTTGCAGCCCTGGCTCTTTTATTTACTCCAGGGCCTGGAGCAGTTGACTTCATTTGGTTTCCCATCAATCAGATGGAGGCAGTTGCTCCCTTAGATATCTATTTTGCAAAATAAATGTGAGGCTTAGATGAGATAACGTGACTAGGGCACTTACAGTCTTGCTGTGTGGTAGCGCTTAATATACAGAAGAATAGTAGTAGTCCTGATGATGATGATGATAAATACTAGATTAACAGTGACATGAAAATGTTTCCCTTCTGAAGAAACTTGCCTTTCCTGTAAGTGTAAATATAAGGGAACTGATGTTGATACTTTTCTAAGTATTGATATGGATGCCTATTAACTCGGCATAGGAGACATTAGATTTTGATAGTACTAGTCAATATCTGAGCAAAGGAACAGGCGTGATGTTCGTGCCCAGGGCGTTTTGTCTTCGGGTTAATCTCTTTGTATGGATTTGAGGGTAACTACTCTGAGGGCAGTGCCGTCAGCCACTAATTCTGATGTTGATACTGTATATTGACCCTAAATGACCTAATATAATGCCTTTTACGTATGACCTTGCCTTTACAGTATTCCAATGCTAAAGAAACCCAGGATTGCATTTCTTATTTAGCAGATGGAAGATGCTAGCAAATTAATCGAAGGCAACGTGCATATCCTAAGCATTTTAATATCTTGGAGGCCAAGCCCATGCCTGACACAGAACAGGCATTTCATCGGTAATGTCGAACTGTTACTGAACTGACGAGGTTTTCCGAGTGTATTGCTGACTCATAGGAGAGGCGGGCTTAGATTTCAAGTCCTCAGACCCCTGGCTGTAGCTCTCTATCGTGAACTATTTTATTTCCAGAATTCATTGTTGGAAGTAGAAACTCATGTGGGTTGCAAGTAAGAAAAAATTTGACTTTCTTATTGGCTGTGGGGAAGGGCGTGCGGGGCCTGAGAGCCGTTTCTGAAGGTGACTGAATGGCCTAGCCAGCGCTGGCCGGGATGTCGTGGGAGGACACCCTTTCTGTTCTCCTTGGTGGCGCCCCGGTGCTGCCCCTGCCCGCCTGACCCTGCGGGTCTGCACCGGAGGGGGACAGGGTTGACGTTTCCCCTCTCACCCTCCGTCTCTGCCCTGTTCCCGGGGAAGGGCTTTCAGGCACGATTCCCTGGATGCTTCCCCAACCTGGAATTTTGAGTTTGACTCTGAGTGAGCTTGGAAGGGAGAAGGCAGGTGCAGTCCTTTGAAGGGACATGTAAAGTGGCCAGGGTAGAGCCAGAAATCCACTGGGACGTGGTTGTTGACGCCTGTTAGTGGGAAGCAGCAGGCTGTAAACAGACTCTGGAGTCAGGCACATCTGGTTTGGAATCCTGGCTTTGGGCAAACTGCCTTCCGTATCTGAGCAAAGGAACAGGCGTGATGTTCGTGCCCAGGGCGGCCGGGGGAGGCTGCACAGGAGGTGGTCACCGCCGTGAGAGGGGACACAATTAAAGATGCCAGCCGATCCTCAGCAGTTCAAACTGGCGGTTTAGCTGCGCTGGAGACGCCCTGCTCTCCTGGAATTCTTTTTGAGAACCTCTCTGTCTTAGCTATGATTTCAAACGTGAGCGGCAGCGTGGGCAGAACGTCAGAGCAGGGACTCTGTCAGCCTTCTGTGTGATCTTCGGTGAATTCCTCAGCCCTTCCTTGTCTCCTCCTCCAGCTGGAAAATGGGGAAGAGAGTGACAGCAGCATCTCAGACCTCGGCTCATGTCATCCTCACCACAGCTTCAGGACAAGCGAGATCCAGAACAAAAAACCCAACAGGGCCACACAGGGGAGGTGCTTGCGGTGACTGTGTGGGAGCTGCTGGGAGGGTGGCTCTGGGGTGACCTGAGGTCACATGCTCATCCTAACTGCAGTTTCAAATGTTTTAAAATATACTCTGCGACATGGCCAAACTCAGGATTTTTGCCAAATTCAGCCTGCAATATGCCTGTCAGACCTGGTGGAAGATGGGCCTGAGGCCCCAAGATGCTTAACAGGGAGAGAACGTGACAGCAGCTGTGCAGGGTCCGGTGTGCAGAGGGTGTGGTTCCACTGTTGTTCAGCAGCCTGGAGGCCCCGGGGAGGACTCTGGGTGGCTTGAGGGTGAGGGGACAGCAGGACACCTGTGCAGCTCTGCCCGAGTTGGAACGTCAGCAGGTGCGGTTTATTTGAAGCATTTTGGATTTTTTTATTACCTGACATGATCCTGTTCAAATGTTGACAACAGTGCTTTTCCTAGTTAAGCAGAAATAGTTTGACTGCTCACCATTCTGAGTTAGTCATGCTGCACTTAATCAATAAGCCCGAAAAATGAAGAATTGACTCTTGTGAAAAGGAATTGAGATTTTGAAAAGTTTTAATATAAAGTTCTTTTTGAGAAACATAAATCTTTTAATTGTGACTGGCATCTTAGACTTTTAGTCTCCTCATTAGATTCATGCAGTTGACGAAGAAAAAGGGCGTTGGAGTGCCTGCCTGATTGACAGATGTGATTGACAGAGCAGTCCCTGTAGTCTCATAATTGAGCAAATGGCATGGCGCCATATAGATCATTAACGTACCATTTGAAGGATTCCTCCTCTGACAGGTGCTAGCTTGGATGTGGCTCCCAGCTACTCAGCTGGACACAGACGTTCAAGCGAGATGAGCCCTTTTGTTTGGTTGCTTCTTGCAGACGCTGTGAAGTGAGCAACGTTCAGTGAGCCGTTGCGGGAGTAGGGGGCAACGGCTACGGTGCTGCTCTCGGGTGCCAGAGTCCCTGAATGACTGTGTCCTCACCCTAAGCCGGAACCACCAGCAGCCAACTGTACAGCTCCCATTTTAGTTTCTGTATCTGTTTTCCTTTCTGTGTTCCCTCAAACAGGGCAAGCTGCACGGATTTAGTCTTGTTTTTTTGAAAGCGGCAGATGGAAATGACAGCTATTCTGCCTTGCCTCCACGTCCCACCAGCAGAGGCACACATCAATCTGTTGTCGCCAAGAGCTTCGGTTCACATTTGGATCTCATTTTACCCAAACTGTTTGGATGGAGCATAAACAGTTCCCGATTCACTGAGGGGCCTGTGGCCTCGCCTCCTTCCGGGTTCCCACCCGGGTGCTCGTCAGGCCGGATTGGCTCCAGGACTGTGTCTCCTCCATCTGTCTGGAAACCTCTAGGTTGTTGTTTCAGAAGGACCAGCCTGGCTCGTGGGATCCGCAGGGCTCGGAAGTGGAGGGAGCATCTGTTGGAACACGCCGTCCTTCAGACGAGCCCCTGGGGCCCGGAGAGAATCCTGTAGTTGGCGAGGCCTTGCCTGGGATGTGTGTCTCCCAGTCTGGTTCTTTCTGTCTGTTGTCTGCCTGCATCCTGAATTTTTTGGTGGGTCAGATGCAGTTTGTTCCTCTGCATTCTAAGATAAGGAGTCAAGCCTGAAAGAAGGGAAGTAACACAGCTGGAAGTTCCTATGGGTTCACACCTGGGTTTTGCAGGTTCTACCTGCAGTGCCATCTCCACTCCGCCTGGAACCAGCCCGCAGTGTCATGGGTGTTGATTTGCCCACAGGTAGCTCAGCCCTGCCCTGGACCCGCAGGATTCTAGCCTGTGCACTCGTCCTTCTCCTTGGACATAGTCACCTGTTCCCATGGCTCGATCACCAAGGGGGTATCCCAGTGAGGGCCAAGTCTGCGACTCCGGCCTGGATTGTTCTGTGCAGCTCCTGGGCCACCAATCTAGCTGCTCCCGGGACGGCCTCTTCTTCCCCCTCGGAGCACTTGTCCTGCTGTGTTGTGATTGTTTAGACAAAAAGCCCCAGAGAGCGGGGGCTGGGGTGCTAGCTGTCCCATCTACGTCCAGCACAGTGTGAATAAGAGTTGGTTGAGTGAGCTGAGCTCCAGTCCACCAGCCTGCAGTCCAGAGGCTGCCTCTCACGGGGCCAGGGAGCAGGTGTGTAGGGAGGGGCAGCTCATTCTAGACGTGGAAAGAGCCAGTCTCCGCCTCAGAGGTGGTAGAAATAACACAGAAGCAGGGTGCTGAATAATGGTGTCGTTTCAAGTCTCCCCTGGTTTGGGGCAACATTGGTTTGTAGGACCTGCTTCTGGAATGAGTACATACGGGCTAAGAAAGCAGCAGGCTGCATGGGAGATACCTCAACATTTCCGGTGAAGGGAGGAGAGGCAAAGGAGGAAACAGGAGGCAGGAGGAGAGGGCACGGGGGCGTAGAGAGGTGAGAGTTCATTGAGATAGAAAGATAAGATGGGGCTTTGCATAAAGGGCCGTGCCTACAGGAAGCCTCGCAGGAAGGTGTGCCCCTGAGGAGTTGGGACGCACCTGCTGGGGGCCACCAGCCTTTTCCATTTAGCCTGGCAAACATTTGTTAAACACTTTGTGTAGCATTAAGGCATTTTTAAAGATAATGGTCCTGGGAAGCAGAGCTAATACTGCTGGGTTGGGGCTTATGCTGTAGCACGATTTTAATCTAGGGACCAACTAATTACTGACATGCTTTGCATGAACTATGTAACGAAAATGAGCCTGCTTCCCACCTGCACCTCCCAGCTCCCCTCCGAATGGGAGAGCCTAGAAGAGCTGGGAACATTGGCCTCTGCATTCTGTACAGGAAAATAAGGAGCCCTGCTCGTGGGACAGGGGCTTAGGGATTCTGGAGGAGGGTTCGTGAGACTCCTTGTCTTCACCAGCACCTGTTCGGAAGTCCTGGAATGCCCTCATTGTTTGGACTTGTGGATTGGAGCGGTGGATACAGGGAACTGATGAGTCGGATGTGTAGACATTTGGACTCCTTGTGCTTGGCCTGCAGCCTTAGTCGGGGAAGGGACAAGAACGTTTGTGAGCGTCCCTCTAGGCAAGAAGGAAGTTAACCTTACTGATCGGGGAGAGGAGCCCTTGGTTTAGAATAGAGTGATGATAGCTAGTAAATAGGGCCGTGAGTAAGGAGAGGTGGCCCCAGATGAATAATGCGCAAGCCATATGAATGGGACTTATGAGATTCATTGATAAATGTGATGGTGGATGGCATAGAACCACCCAGGAGCAGCGCTCGGGAGAGACCCGCTGACTCCGCCATTGATTGCGGGCTAATGCATTTTTAATGGCTACCCAGATGCATTTCCTAATTGGTGATTACATCACTGTGTGTTCCAGAATAAAGCATGAGTCATCCTCCAGTGATGAAGAGCACTCAGCTGCCAAGCCGTCGAGCGCGGGCCACCTTGCTCTGTTGTCCAGCGTGGGCTACAAGAAGACCCTCCGGCTGACTTCAGAGCAGCTGGTGAGTGTCCTGTTCTTCCCTCGCCGTGTTTGTGGCCACTGGCCAAGGCACGGCCGCCCAGACTCCGAGGACGGGATGGTCTGGGTGTCCCTCTCGCCCTCTGGCTCCCACTTTTACTCCTGGCACCTCTTCTATCCCAGAGTGCCTACTGCCCTCTGGCTACCTCAAGACCCCCTTTTGGTACCCCGTGTTTTCACCCTGACACCAGCACCTGTGCAGGCTGGCTCGTCAGTGTTACTTCCCCTTGGGTTCCCTGACGCAGCCCTGGCGGCTCCTGTTTTCAAGTGTTAGAGGAAGGCAGCCTGATGGAGCTAATTTATGCTGAGGTGTAAATGACTGATAGACCAAAATCTCACAGGAGTCTTTCCACTTTGAGAGCTAACTCAAATGCATCTCTTAAATTGGGGAAAATCAAGCAATTATGATGGGATCTAGAGAATTTTTTCTTTTCTTTTTGGCTTGAGGAAGATTAGCCCTGAGCTAACATCTGTGCCAGTCTTCCTCCATTTTGTATGTGGGACGCCTCCACAGCGTGGCTGATGAGTGGGGTAGGTGCACACCCGGGATCCGAACCCGGGCTGCTGAAGCCGAGTGCATGAACTTTAGCCACTCAGCCACAGGGCTGGCCCCCAGTCACAATGTTGTTTTTGTGTGTGAGTCTACGGCCCGTTTTAATCAGGCCCTTACCTGGGCTCTGTTACCCAGGAGCAGTCAGTGAGCAAGTATCCGTGTTCTTTTCCTTGTATCCTGAGAGTGAGTGAGGGCCAGGCTTAGCTGTGGTGGTGCTTATTGGGAAAAGATAACAGACAGGCCCAGACACCCACTTAATGCCACAAGTGCCACCCTGCAGCCTGGCAGTCCTTGTGTAGCTGCGTGGTGCGCAGCTCCAACCAGTGGCGCTGGGGGAGGCCTGCATGCAGTCAGGCGGCTTGTGGGCCTGTGTGCCAGAGGCTCCCAGCAAAGAGATGCACACCGCCAAACGGTAACTTTGCTTTCTGAATCTGGCGTGGTTTTCCTGAGTCTAAGCTCTGTGCTTCTGGATATGAGATGTGCTTGGTCACTGAGACTGCTTTCGTCCCATCTGTGTCAGTATAATAGTCCTTAAAAACATGGTCATTTAGAGAAACCTGTTTCCACACCTGGCTTGAGTTTATCTCCCCAGCTGTGGCCTTTCGTATTTAGTTACAGAGGAGTAAGTGTGACCTGTTCTGAAGCTGTGATTTATTTTGCTGGGCCTTATAGCCTGTCATTTAGCCCTCTCTGACAGTTCTCATCCAGAAATACTGGATCAGCTTAGCGCTGTCTTTGGAGGTAGAACAGCATTGCAGAAAGTGGGTGAGCTGCATTGTAAGTGGGTCTGAGAGGAGAGCTGGGGTCCAGGTTGTCCAAACCCTGGAAAGAGCCATCCTGGTCTGGAGCAAGACAGAGAAAGAAAGAATGGTACAGTGGCCTTTGTTGTGAGTGCTGTCGAGTGGATTCCTTCTGCCACCTAGCGCCCTGTGGACAGCAGAGCGGAACCCTGCCCTGTCTTTCTGTGCCCTCCTCTCCCCTTCCTGCCCTGTATCAGACAGTGCTCCCTGCTGTTCACAGGGTTTGCATGGCCAGTTTTTTCAGGAATGGGTGCCAGGTCCTTCTTCCTAGTCTGCCTTAGTCTGGAAGCTCCTTTGAAACCTGTCCACCGTGGGTGACCCTGCTGGTATTTGAAATACTGGCGGCATAGCTTTCAGCATCCCAGTAACACGCAGCCACCACAGTGTGACACTGACAGATTGGCCTGTGCGTCCCCGACCGGGAAACGAACCTGGGCCACGGCGTTGAGCGTGCTGGATCTTAAGCACTAGGCCACCAGGGCTGGCCAGGGCAGTGATTTTTTAAAAAATCCTAATCCAGCTTTTCATGGAACAGAAACCAAATATCCCTCAATCTGGGCCTTCCCCTCAAGCAGACACATAATTCATGTTTTTCAGAAAAGCTTAAAGTTGAAGAATGGCCCCAATGATGTGGTTTTCAGCGTCACCACACAGTATCAAGGCACGTGCCGCTGTGAAGGCACCATCTATTTGTGGAACTGGGACGACAAAGTCATCATTTCTGATATCGACGGAACAATCACTAGGTAGGTCCAGTGGATCCGGGGCTGTGGGAGAGCTCTTACCTTCATCGGTCGGGACCCCTGGGCCTGGGCCAGCATTCCAGTTCTCCTCCGCTGCCGTCGTGGAGCTCCTGCAGTGCAGTTTGCTGTGTAGTCCGTGCTGCTCATGGAGTCTTTGCTCCTTGATTCGCAGCTGCAGTTGGGGCTTAGTGGTTGTTTCCATGGACGGTGTCGGCTCCCTGATTTTGTTGCTCACGTGGATGCTTCTAAAGAGCACCATTCTGCATGGCCTTTTCCCTTTGATGTAGCACATGATGCAATGGAAGGTGCCCCTTTGCCTGTTAACATATCCTTCTCTGAGCATGGTCTCATTTGATGACTTTAGCTTTGGGCTTTCTATCCAGAAAGTAAGTCGTGGGTCTCATTTGCATTTTTTTGTTAGGCATTTATGATGTGATGAATTGGAATGAACTTTTTTTTTCCTTTTGTGACATCCTTTTAATTTTATTTTTCTCATTTTTATCTTTACGTAGATCAGATACTCTCGGCCACATTTTGCCCACCCTCGGGAAGGATTGGACCCACCAGGGCATTGCTAAACTGTACCATAAAGTGAGCCAGTGAGTGTGGACCGCCTCTTCCCCACCCCTCACGCACGGCTGGTGTACGCACGACGCTGCCCGTGGAATCCTTGCTGCCAGGGTCACTTTCAAAGAGGGGTGCACCTTCACCAGGGAGGGTCAGCAGGGGTGGCGGTGGAGGGTCCTGAGTGCACGGTGAATCCCGCCAGCTTCAGATGTGAGTGTTGTACCAAAGGACAGGAAAGGAATTGGTGGGTGAATCGAGAACTGATGGAGAAAGAAGAAGGTGGCAGCGTTAGGGGAGGCTTGGGGAGTGTCAGAGAGAATCAGGTAAAGAAGTGGTCTGATATATGCCAGTGTCTTATTTTGAGTTTAAAAGGTACAGATTCCAAGCAGTTGCAGGGCAGGCCCCATGAGCCAGCCAGCCGTGCACATGTCGTTCACCTGGTCTGGGGGAGCGCTCTGCTGAGTGGCCAAAACACAGGACGGTGGGTCACAGGACAGCACCCGCTGTGGGGCACACACCCGGGACATCAGGGCGGGAGAGTAGGTATTTTGTTGGGCACTTGGGTCACTTCACTTAAATCTTACAGTAATTCTGAACAGCAGATAGTAGCATTTCTGTTTTTAGATGAAATAAACTTAGAGAGTTACAGCGATTTGTCCACATTCCCACAGCTGCTAATGGGCAGAACTCGTTAAAGCCCTGGTCTGTCCGGACCTGAGTCCACTGCTTCTCTCCAGTCCACCTCCAGGCTCCAGAGACAGTCGGGCTTTCTCCCTCCCCAGTACTGGCTTGTGCTTGGTTGCACTTTCTCCATCTTTCTGTGGACTAGAGCCTCCCACATAAGTGAAACCTCTCTCTCCAACGCTTTCTGTTCTCCAGCCAGTTAGGCCTGGAAGGTGCCTTGGGCTGACTCGGGACAGCCCGTCTTTCCATGGGGTAGGACGGAGGGGAAGTTTCACAGTTGGTGAACGTCAGGACAGAGGACCCAGGCCCATCATTCCCACCTGCTGTGCTCACCTCTGGCCCACGGTGGTGGTGATAAGGGGGGATGGGCACTCAGAGCTATCTCCAGTCCTCTGTGGGCACAGACGAACGGAGTACCCTTTCCCACTCCTCATTCATTCATTTGTCCACCGTTTACTGATGCCTGTTGTGTGTCTGGTCCTGTGCTGGTGCTTGGGATGATAGTGAAGTGGACACAGCCTCCGGCCTCCTTTGCCTTATGCTCCTGGGAGGAGGGCCGTGTATCCTGGTGGGATTAAGCTCTGGGTTTTTTAGATGCCCAGCTCATTGGTTTGACCTTACTTTTCTAGATTTCCTCTTTAAAAAATTACATAAGTAATGCATGCTTCTTTCAAAAAGAATAAAAGAAATAAGAAAAATTAGAAGAATGTGAAAGTGCAAAGCTCGTGTCTTCCTCCCTGCTCTGCCACCGGCTAATCCAGGCCCTGCCAGTGAGACTGCTGTGGGCAGTTTGGTTGTGTCTTGCTGTACTTAGAATTCACTTACACGCTCGCCCTGCCCCTGATGCACACACATGTGCTCACATTATTTCATAACATATCCTCCTGTTTCATTACCTGTACGGTTTGCCTCATTCTTGTAACTGTTCCACGAGTCCAGTGCTGTGGGTAGGCCATCCTTTAACTGGTCCTCCACTGGTACACGTGGTAGGTAGTTCTGGTTTTTCACCGTTTCCAGCAGTGAGGCAGTGAGCGTCTACACAGAGGGTCTGTTCTATATAAGGAGCGTGTCAATGAGTAAAGAAAGCACGCACTCAGGGAAGGCCTACTGTAAAGTGGATTCCCAGGAGCAGGCTGTTGGGTCAAAGGATGAGCACATTCAAAGGTTTGATCAATATTCCCAAATCGCTCTCTAGAAGGTTCTTGCAGTCTGTGCTCCCGCAGACGGTGTGTGTGCAGACCCCTTTCCCCACGACCTCACCGTGGGCTGACCTTTTGTTAGAAGGATTAATCACCGATGAGCTGCCTTGACTTGCATGACACTGAAAACTGCATCTATTTTTAGTTGAAAGAAACCCTCCTACGTCAGGATACTGAGTAGTTCACAGCCTGATTCTTTTTGGTTTTTGGAACATAAATCTATTCCTGTCCTTACTGTAACATTAAAAAAAAAAAAAAGGCACAGTTGCATTTTTTTTTTTTGTCTTGATTTATGTCTCTCTTGGATTTTCCCAGAAAAGACACCTTCTTGAAAAGTGAAATTGTGTAGCTTACCAAGAAACACCTGACGTTCTTGTCTTTGGTTGGTCGGTTTAGGATGAGAGAAGTCTGTTGGTGAGGATCTGAGAATAGTGCCGAAAGCTTCTTGTATTTTCGTTTGGGTTGAGAGGAATCGGCCTGACATGTATTTGTTCATTGAGTTCGATATGTGTCCTGTGGCGCCCAGACAATCAGGCCGGTGCGATTGGCGGTGATGGTCAGGCTTCCGGAGCAGCCGTCTCGAGCACAGCCCGGCCCTGGCCCTCAGGGCTCCGTCCTGCGCACCCGTCACGTGAAGAGCGAGCTCCTTGGTGTGGCTTTGGAAACCCAGCCGTTTTGGGTGCCAACCTTCTGCTAGGTCCTGGTTTTCTGCTGCTTCTCCCCCGAGCTTCTTGCTCTAATCCAGGCTGACTGTGTCCTCACTCCGTGCTTCATTGTCCCGTCTTCCAGCCTATGCTCCTTGGATGGCCTCTGCACTGCAGGCCTTTGCTGCTCAACGTTTTTTCAGCCTGTAATGCCCGGCTCATGCGCCACAGTCCTTGTGAAGCCTTTCCAGGCTAGAGTCGGTGACCCTGGGCGGCTCTCATCTCCTCCTCCTCTGGGCTTACTGAGCGCTTTATTGACACCAAGGGCTTGGCCTGGCTGGTGGCCTCGGTCCCATCACAGAGACCTCGCCCGGGCTGGACACAGTGTGCAGTTTCCGCAGCTGACTGTCGGCTGAGTGCACGCTGTCTCTCCAGGGTCTCGGCAGCCGTAGCAGGGGAAGGTGAGAACCCGTCGGGTTGTGACTCTCTCTTCTCGTGAGTCCAAGGCGTTCTTTCTTTCTTACTTGTGACTACCCAGAGATGTGTTAGGGAAACAGTCAGCCGGCTAGAGTGCCAGGAAGGAGATGCCGTTTAATTTGGGATTTTTGGACTGATCTTAGGATCTTAGGATTTTTGGACTGATTGCTCTTTCATGACACTGCTTTCCTTGAATTTGGGTCCCACTTAAATTGTATACACTGCAGTATTTTGTCTAATGAAAAAACCAGTCTTGCACATAGCCACTTGCCTGGAAACAAGAGAAAATGAGGGCAATTAAACTTATTTTTGCTGAATGTAATTACCTGTTTGAATACGCTCAGCTGGTGAAAAATGGTCTTTCAGGCTGATTGTCACCTTGTTCATAGAGAGGATATAAAGCTTTCTGGGTTATTGATTTAACAAAGCTTATTGGTTATTGATTAAAAAGAACTACAGCAAATACAAATGGAAGATGTATGAAACTCCTTCATATTCAAATATGTTCAATACGTAGAAGAAAAGTAAAGAAGGATTATTTCCTGAAGTATCTAGATCATTGAGCCAATAGGTCTTTTAGGGGCTAAATTTGGACAGTAATTAGTCTGATTTCTACCTTACTTGGTATAAATTTTTATATTCATGTAGCCAGAAGTCACTGTCTCTGCGACAGGGAGAATGAATGCTTACTGTCTTTTCATAGATCAGTTAGTTCATCGGTGGCCCAAGGAATGTATCATGTGAAGCTGGCGTCCTGAAGATGGGAAATACCCATTAGCAGACTTATGAGGGTCTTTTTTCTTCTCTTGCCACAGCAGTTACTTATTTCTTTGACCTCAGGTCGTCTTGGGTTATTGCTGTCATTACTATCTGCTGCTAAGGGAGAGGATCATGTGCTGAACACGGGGTCAGGGGACCTGGAGTCTAGAGGTGACAGCCGTCAGCTCCCCACAGACCCCCAGACGTCGTTCCCCACTGCGAGCTTTGGTTTCCTCGTCTTGAAAATGAGAAAGTTAGACTAGGTGGTCCCTTAGGTCACTGCTGGCCGGGCGTGCTCTGCCGCTGGCTGTGTGGTTGAAGTCACACGTGTGTGTGAACAGCGGAGGGGGCTTTTGCAAGCCCCGCCTTAGAGAGAATCCCTGGGATTTCGCTGACTGACTGCAAAGCCGTCATGCCGGGACTGAGCGCGGGGCTGCGTGGGGCTGAGCATGGTGCTGCGTGGGGCTGTGTGCGGTGCTGAGCGCGGTGCTGCGTGGGGCTGTGCGCGGTGCTGAGCGCGGTGCTGCGTGGGGCTGTGCGCGGTGCTGAGCGCGGTGCTGCGTGGGGCTGTGCGCGGTGCTGAGCGCGGTGCTGCGTGGGGCTGTGCGCGGTGCTGAGCGCGGTGCTGCGTGGGGCTGTGCGCGGTGCTGAGCGCGGTGCTGCGTGGGGCTGTGCGCGGTGCTGAGCGCGGTGCTGCGTGGGGCTGCGGTGCTGCACTGGGTGCTGCGGGCCCCTGCCCTCAGGGATCCCGTGATCGCGCAGGAGCAGACGGTGGCGCTCCGCGTCACGAGGCAGTGATGGGAAGGTGCAATGAGAGCTGCAGTTCAGGGACGTAAGTGAAGGAGAGATTTATTCCGATTGGACGAGGGAGGAACCAAAGGAGGTTTCAGTGAGAAGGGGGCACTTGAGCTGAGCCTTGTCGGATGAGCAGGGTCTCGACAGAGAGGAGAGCTCATCTGGGGTGGAAGTAGGATGAGCGCAGGGCTCACGGAGAGGGAGGCGCGTGCGGAGGGCCGGGTGGGAGTAAATGAAACGGAAAGCCAGCCGCACCGGATCGCAGAGGGCCTTGGAGGCCGGGCTGGGAACAAGCCTGACTTTGGCGCAAGCCTTCCTTTCTCGAGGTAGCAGGCGAATGGCCTTCCTCTAGGACTGCAAATGGGGCTGCAGAGGAACCTTCTCCCTACAACGGTGGCTTTCAACTGAGGGCGATTTTGCCGGCCATGGGATTCGCGGCAGTGTCTGGAGACATTTTTGGTTGTTGATTTAGCATGCCAGGGATGCTGCTAAGTAGCTTACAACGCAGCGTCATAGGGAGCCCCCCCCCGCAAACAACTATTTATCCAGTTGTCCAAGATGTCAGTAGTTGAGAAACTCCAGTCTGGACGTTTATCTTGGAAAATACTCCCAAAGGTTATCTTTCCAAAGTGTTTAACTATCTCTCTGGGCCAAGCGTTTTCAGAGGGGTGTAGAGATTGGGATAGATGGAGAAACTTTGTACCAAGCCTGGCCGTGGGATGCTCTTCCTTTTTGGCTCTGGTGTTTCCCCAGGGGCCTGTTGCAGTTGCTGAGATAGTGAGGGATAAGGGTGATCCAGACTGTGGATTGCACCTCCGTTCACTGGTAGTTCCTCAGGCAGGGCTTGCCCTTCCCACCCCTGGGGTCCCTCGTGTCCACCTTTGCTCTGTCACGTGTCCTGTGTCTGTCATTGTCACTTTCCCTAAAGCACTCCCTGTTCCTTAGGGCACGGCTGTGCTGGGCCCCACGTGCACACCGAGCCCAGCCTGGGGCCTGGCCAGGAGTGCCCCGTGGCTGTGCACTGGTGGAAGGAGCATGTCCTGCTGCTGGCTGCCCTTCTGAGCAAAGGGGAGGAGTCTTACCCACGAGGGGCTCCATTGAGAGCAAGCTTTGTGACTTGGTGCCACCTGGGCAATGGATGGGAGCACTGGGAATTTCAGACAGCGTTGGTGGGGGTGAAGTCTCTGGAAAGGTGATCCCCGCTGCCACCAACACGCATCTCTCCCATCAGGACATCTCGGGTGGAATTTCCAGCTAAGTTTAGTGACGGCCTTTGCGGTAGAACACTTGCATGGCGAGAATGATGCCGTGGCATGATCAGACCATGAAATGGATTTGAAAATCAAGTTTGAGTAAAATTGGCATCTCAGACCTTGCAGGTGGCAGCTTTTAGGACTTTGATGTGAAAAGCTGTTGACAGAAATAGTGATTTTTTTTTAAAGATTGCATTAATTAGAAAGCTAAGATACAAAGATGTTTAATTAAAAAGGTTGCTTGATTTTCAGATGCATCCCTGTATTCCAGATAAGCCGATATTTCTAGACTCTCTTTGTCTTAAAACTTTCCTGTTTCTGGGTGTTAAAGAACATGTTAAGCGAGGCTAGAGACAGGTCGTCCGGCCAGCGTGAAGTATTTATGGCGGAACAGGAGGTCGGACAGGAAGTGGGCAGTTTGTATTCGCTCATTCAGCAAGTATTTACTAAGTGTCTCCTGCCTGCCAAGCGCTGTTTTTGGCACTGGGGTTACAGCAAGGAAGGAGACGAAGTCCCCACCCTCCTGGAGTGTATGGATTAACGAGTGATGCAGTCGAACAAGGGTCCGTAACATTCCATTTGTCATAAGTGCTGTGAGGAAAAGTAAACAGAGCAAGGGTGCAGTGCCTGGGCGAGGGGAAGGCAGGGGGTGTTTGATTAAATAAAGGGACAAGGAAAGGGTTCTCTGAGGAGGTGACATCTGAGCAAAGACCTAGATGAGGTGAGGGAGCGAGTGAGCCTGAGGGGGAACAGTGGGGAACAGAGTTCCAGGCAGCAGGAACAGCACGAGCAGGTGCCCAGCACAGGAATGCACGTGGCGAGTGAGAGGAACCGTGAGAACACCTGTGTGGGGAGCCCGGAGCAAGGGAGCAGATGGGCTGGAGAGAAAGGCGGGGACCAGGTCTTACTGGCCTCGCAGGTTGTGGCAGAGAGTTTGGATTATATCTGACAGAAATGGCAGGGCTTTGGAGAGCTTTGGGCATGAGTTGACTAAATTTTAAGTTTTCTTTCTGAGTGCAGCCTTGATGGGGGGCAGGAATAGAGGTGAGAGTCCCTGTCCTGGAGGTTGGGGGACATGTGAGGGCAGAGCTGAGAGGACCTGGTAATGAGTAGGGGTGGAGGTGGTAGTGAGGAAAAGTGGAAACCCAGAGTGGCCCCTGAGATTTTGGCTTCACCCTGGGTTAACGGGGTGCTGCTTGCTGAGGTGGGAAGGCTTGGGAGGGGCGCCTGAGTGCGTTCACTTATGATGTGCCATGGGTGAGATGCTGTTGTGTATCTAATGGGTGATGTGGAGTGTGCAGTTCACACATTGGCCTTGGAGCTTCAGAGATGAGTCTGGACTGGAAATACAAATTTGGGAGACATCAGTGTATAGATGGTGTTTAAAAATTTTTTAGTATGTTTTACTTAATCCAATATATTAAAGATATTACCATTTAAACATGCAATCATATAAAAATTATTTTTTTTTTGGTGAGGAAGATTTGCCCTGGGCTAACATCTGTGCCATTCTTCCTCTATTTTGTATGTGAGTCACTGCCACAGCATGGCTGGTGAGTGGAGTAGATCCACACTCGGGATCCATACCCGTGAACCTGGGCCTCTGAAGCAGAGTGTGCTGAACTTTAACCACTCAGCCATGGGGCTGGCTCCAATATAAAAATTATTAAGGGGATGTATCTTATTTTTTGTTTCTATAGTAAGCCTTTGAAACTTGGTGTATATTTTATATTCGCAGCATGTCTCATTTTGGACACTAAGTTTTCAATGGTTAAAAAAAAATGGAAAGGTAGTGTCACTAAATCCATGAAGCTGTGTTCAACAGAAGAATGCTCCTGTGAACTGTTTTTCACTCCCAACACTTTTTTTTTTTCTGTTTTTTCTCCCCAAATCCCCACAGTACATAGTTGTGTATTTTAGTTGTAGGTCCTTCTAGTTGTGGCATGTGGGACGCCGCCTCAACATGGCCTTGTGAGCAGTGCCATCCATTACTGCTCCCAGAATCCGAACCGCGAAACCCTGGGCTGTCGAAGCAGAGCATGTGAACTTAACCGCTCAGCCACAGGGCCGGCCTCCTCCCAACACTTTTGACACCAGAAATATGGGGTTTTCTCACCAAGCAATTCCCAAATTCTCTATACACGTTAACTGGGTGTCCAGCGGTTTAATTTAATTCTGACACCAGCTACCTGTACTTAGGGTCCCGGACCCCAGGTTAAGGCTCATTCCCACAAGCTGCCCCTGCTTCAGACGCCAGTTGTGAGTAGTAGGTCCCCAGCTTACCACACCTCTGCCCAGCTTGGCTACAGATTTGGGGTTCCTAGAACCCCCTCGTGAGGGTTGATAATTTGCTACATTGGCTCACAGAACCTAGGGAAACCCACTTGCCTGTTTATTATAAAGGATACAAATGAAGAGCCAGATGAAGAGGTACATAGGTCGAGGTTCTGCCTCCATGGAGTTGGGGTGCACCACCCTCCCATCATGTGGATGGCTGCGTTCACCAACCCGGAAGCTCTCCGAACCCCATTGTCTAGGGTTCTTATGGAAGTTCCGTTACTTAGACATGATTGACTAAATCATTGGCCATTGGTGATTGAGCTCAATCTCCAGCCCCTCTCCTCTCCCTAGAATTTGGGGCGTGGGGCTGAAAGTTCCAATCCTCTAATTGTGTGGTTGGTTCCTCTGGCAACCAGGTCCCATCCTCCAGGAGTCACCTCGTTAGCATTAACTCAGGTGTGGATGAGAGGGGCCTGTTATGAATAACAAAAGATGCTCCTCTTATCCCTGTCACTCAGGAAATTCCAAGGGTTTTAGAAGCTCTGGGCCAGGAAGTGGGGATGAAGATCAAATGTGTGCTTATTATATCACAATATCACAAATATTTTATACTGCTTCAGTTTCAATGTGCGTTTAAAGCCCTGGAAATGGGTGAGATCCCTAGGGGGTGGAGGTGTTGGGAAGAAATGAGGCCCCGGGATCCCAGAGCGCTTGTACATTTGGAGGCCGGGAGCAGATGCAGCCCAGGTGACTCGTCTGGAAAGAGCTGGCTGGTGGGGGGTGGGGGGGCAAAGGAGGAGACTATGGGGTCCTGGAAGCAGAGGAAGAGGGTATTTCGGAGGAAGGAAGGTCACCGGTGTCTGGTGCTCCCAGGACGTCTGTTCAGACGCGAGTTGAGAAGTCATGCCTGGATTGCTAAGGTGGCATCATAGGTGACCTTGACAAGGGCAGTGAGGAGGGGAACAAGCGTGCTTGGAGTGGGTTGACGGGAGAAGGCACAGTGGAAGTGGAGTCAGTGCAGAAACACAGCTCTTTGAAAGGATTTTGCTACAAGGGGGAACAAAGAAATGGGATTTGCCCCAGAGAGGTAAAACCTAAGAAGGATTTTTTTGTGGTTGTTGTTGGCTTGGCTTGTTTTTAGCGTGAGATGAGAGAGGTTAGAGTATATTTCTGTGCCAATGGGAATTACCCAGTGTAGGGGAGCATTTGATGGAGCATGGGTTGGCGGGGATGGGCTCATTGCTGGCACGAGGTCTGCGAATTGGCAGGTGGGGATGGGGCCCTGTGCCCAGGTGGCTGGGTGGCCCTTGACCAGGAGCAGGCGCTGGCAGTCTGAAGGGTACCGGTACAGGCGGGTTGGCCAGTCTGACGCATCGAGCCTCAGTTTCCCTAGCAGTAAAGTGGGAGGATAATACCTACGGAACAATGTTCCCGTGAGGATTAAACAGAGTGAGAGATGTGAATGTGCTGAGTAAGTGACAGTCAGATGCATTCAAGCTCATTTCTCCGTTGAAAAGATTTTCTAGAAGGTGGCCTTTTGCTTGGGAGGGAGCCTGCCGCAGTGCCTCTCTTCGTGAAACAGAGAGAGATCAGGGTTTGTGCCTATAAAACAGTTCCACTGCGCGATGCCGTTGACTGTGGATGTTTTGTCTCTTTTTCAGAAATGGATACAAGTTTCTCTACTGCTCTGCGCGTGCCATCGGGATGGCAGACATGACGCGGGGCTATCTGCACTGGGTCAACGAGAGGGGCACGGTGCTGCCCCAGGGGCCCCTGCTGCTGAGCCCGAGCAGTCTCTTTTCCGCCTTGCACAGGTACGCCATGGGGCGTGTCCACCCCCCACCCCAGCTCTGCGGCCACTTCAGGTGCTCTCTCTCCCTCACTGGAAGTTTTGCAAGAATAGCCTCTTAACAGGTCTTCGCAACCAATATCGCTGCTCCATACTGGGCATCAGAAAAATCGTCCTGAAATGAATGTCTGGTGCTTTCACCACCCTTCTTTGGCTCATCCTGGCTCTTGGGATAAAGTCCAGGCTCATCAGCTCAGCCTCCCTTGCCTCTTCAGGACCTCCTCTTGCCTTCCTCTCCAGTCTTGTTTCTCTCTAGTTTCGAGATCTCAGACGTGTTGAACTGTCTCCGTTTTCCAGAGTGATGTTCTCTACTCTGAGCCTTCGCACATGCTGTTCACCTTTTGTGGGTGGCTGCTCCTCGCCCTGTGTTGCTGGGCTGAGTCTTGATGACTCTGAGAATCAACTTTCATTTCGTCTAATCGGGGACCTAGGCTGGGTTGAGTGGCCTCTCTCCCAGCCGCCACCACCCACCTGGCCTGGACTCCCCTATACTCATCTCTGAGAGCTCTAGTCACACTGTTTATTTGAACAGGCCTCTGATAGACTACTGGCCCGTTTCTGATTCCCCTCCTCCCTTCACCTTTGCGCCCGCCTTCAGGGCAGCCAAGCAAAATCCAGTCTGGCCTCCTGGGGTGGGCGAGGAGAACACGAGGCTTCCCTGTAGCTCGAGGCCCAGGGTGGTCTCCCAGACTGCCCTCAAAGTGTAATCTGTTGTGGTCATAACAGGACCTTATTCCTGCAGAGGCTGGTTGTAAGTATCACAGAGTCATGTCCTTAAGATCCAGTGAGGGGCTTTGGCATGATTCTGCCTCAATTTGAGGACCAGATTAGCTGCTTGCTGCTGCTAACTGTGCAAACACACATACATCTAGAAGGGCCCAAACGCCACGTTGCTTCCTCTTATTTTTCTTGAGCTCCATAGATGCCTTTTCCCTCACAACCTTCTTTTGTGTGAGTCGTCATTTTTTTCATGTAGTAAAAGATCTCACGTTGAAACTTGCGCATTCTGGGGAGGAAATTCAGGCCAAACCTCTGAATGTCATAGTGTATTTCAAGTCCTGAGAGCTGTCATGATAGTGGAGGTCCTAACAGAAATCCAGATATTTTAAGGAAATGGTGTCCCTGAGATATGTTGACAGTTTGCAACAAGCTACTCATCAGCATGTGTTAAGTACTAAGCCTTGGCTGGGCTAAGCACAAAGTTGGCGTCATAATTCTGACATCCTAAAAATAAATTTAAGGTGATCCTTTTCATTTTTTCCTTATCAAAATATCATTGTCCAAGATATATAAACTTTTTCCTTGTGAGGAATTATTTAAAAAAAAACCCAAACAACTGAGCCTTACAATTTGTATTTCCTGTTGGGAGATGGAGGTGCTCCTGATGGCCATGGCCAGCAGCCTGGTCCTTCCAGCACTGCACTCTAGCCAGAGCCATGCTCTGTGTTGGCCGTCCTGCAGGTTTTCTAGAATTCATGGGTGAGTCCACCATGACCACAAATGACCTTCCCTAGCAAGACACTTTAGATGGGTACCATTCTGATGACACTGCCTGGGTTTAACTTGGAATGAAGAAAAATAAATGCAGTGGGTGGGATGCATGGAGCACAGTCAGCATGGTGTGGCAGAGAGGGCTCTGAAGGGGGACCGGGAGCCCCAGCTCTGAGGCTGCTTGGTGATCACAGCTAATTGCTGGTGTGGTGAGCAGGTGGCTCCCCTTCCTGCGTCTGTTGCCTCAACTGCCGAATGAGAGGGCTGGATTAGATGATCTCAAGGGTCCCTTTCAGATCTGAAAGGCTACCATTCAGGGAAGTATGTCTGAAGAAAGAAGTTGAGAGAATCTATTTCACATACCTTTTGGTTCATGAGCTTCTCCTGTTAAAGTAGAAATTGGCTTTGTCATGTGATTCTTTTTAGTTACTTGCCCTCTTTTGTTGTGACGACAGAGCGATTCAGTTCGTTTTTATAAAGGCTCTGTTAGTACAGTGTACATTCCTGATAGGTGTGGCTCCAGTCTCTGGGGGTGGGTCCCACTGACTCACTGAGCTGATGGACAGGGCTGGACATAGGAGCCTTTGCTCTTTTCCCATGATGCTGGGTTACGGGGACAGATCTGAACTTCCGGAGTCAGGCAGCAACAGAGACTGGCCTCTATCTCTGGGAAAGAACTTCTTCCACAAGTAACTGCATTTGCCCTTTGGGGTTTTCTGAGCTGCTGTGAGACTTGGGTAAATGACACTTAGTTGTTTGCTAGAGTGAAGTTACATCTAGGCTCAGTTGAGTGACCAGTGACTATTTGCAACTTCAGATCACCAAAGAGATAGGCTGTGCCGCGGGAGCAGTCTGTACTGGTCATCATAGCGATTCTCAGCAGTCCTTACCCCGTGCCCCTGGGTGTTCTTACTGCCCAACAAGGAGCCTTGCACCTTCGAGGCATTGGGTGGCATGGGGCCGGCAAGGTGTTTTCTTACTTACCCCATATATATGCATGCAGACATCCTCCTCTCCACCTCCCACACACTCACACATGCACAATATGTGTGTGTGTCTGTGAGAGAGAGCAAGAGATTGAAGTAGGAAGTTGAATTTGGATGATTTTCCCCGGTGGGTTGAAGTTTGAGACTTAGAATCATACAGTCCTTCATGTATCTATCTATGAATGCGAAGATGTAAAAAGAAAGACCCTTTTAGTGTTAAGGAGGGCTCTGGAGTCCACAGAAGTCGATGCAGAGCCAGGACCAGCCCTTGGGTCTCTTTTATTTTTTAAAGATTTTATTTTTCCTTTTTCTCCCCAAAGCCCCCCCTGGTACATAGTTGTATATTTTTAGTTGTGGGTTCCTCTAGTTTTGGCATGAGGGATGCTGCCTCAGCATGGCTTGATGAGTGGTGCCATGTCTGTGCCCAGGATCTGAACCTGTGAAACCCTGGGCCGCCAAAGCAGAGTGCACGAACTGAACCACTCGGCCACGGGGCCGGCCGCATGCACTTGGGTCCTTTAACGCTCAGTCCACGACCACCCCCACCCCCACCACCATCATCATCGTCAGCAGCTTAAAGTACATTTTGAGTAGGTACAGAAGACGATTTCTAAAATACATGCAAGGTACAAATGATAGTCACACATGAACACCAGTGCACCTACCACCCAGTTAAAGTGAAAGGACGTACGTTCCCTCTGAAGGCCCACTTGCTCTCATCCCTCCCCTGAGTAGTAGTAGTACCCACCATCCCTGAATTTTGTGTTTATCATTCCCTGCTTTTCTGTATAGTTTTATCACATTTATGTGCAATCCTGACCAATATGTTTAATTGTGCACATTTGTGAACTTTCTTTAAGCAAATCACATGTTCTTCTGGAGCTTACTTTTTTCGTTCAGCATTGTCTTCCCAAGATTGTTGAGCGAAGCTGCACCTCATTCATGTTTACTTCTGTATCGTCTCCTGCTGTCTGACTCTGCCTCGGCTTATTCATCTATTTCACTGTTGATGGGTACTCGAGTGGTTCCCAGGTTTTGCTGTGGGAGCAGTGCTTCTGCGGGTCCTTGAGGGGCGCACGCGCGATGGTTCGTCTGAGGTTGCTCTTGAGAGTAGAATTGCGGGGCCATGAAGTATGCACGTATTCAGCTTCATGAGGCCGTTCGAAACTGTTGTCCAAAGTAATTGAACCAACTTATGCCCCAGCAGTGGTGTGTAAGGGTACCGTTTGCTCTGTTTCTTGCCAACATGTTGTCAGCAGTGTACATTTTTTGCTAGTCTGGTGGGTGTGAAATGTCTCTTTTCATGTGTTTATTGGCCATTTGGGCTTCATCTTCTGTGGATTGCCTGTTCAAGTCTTTCCCCTATTTTCTTTTTTCTTTTTAAGAGTGTGTTGTCAATTCTATATATGTCACCTTTGTTATGAGGGCTGCAAATACCTTTTCCCAGTTTATGGCTTTTGATGAACGTAAATTCTTCATTTCTTGAGTTGAACGTATCACTTCCTCTGTAGCTTGTGCTCTCTGTGTACTAAGAAGCCTTCCCTGACCTGTGAGCATAAGACAGTGTCCTCTATTTTATCTAAAGGTGCTGCCTGTCATGTTTAGGTCTGTAATCCACTAGGAATTGATGTTTGTATATAGATGAAGTAGGGGCCCATTTCCTTTTTTCTCCCCCTCTGTGGATGTTCAGTTGTCCCAGTGCCGTTTACTGAAAAGACTGACCTTTCGCCTGCTTCGGATTCTCATCATGGCCATAAATGGCTGGTTCTGGCTTTCCTCTCTGTGCAGCTGTTAGAATCAAGTTCCATAAAAACATGCAGACAAAAACCTGTTGTGTCTGATTGAAATTACGATGAATCTATAGATCAATTTAGGTAGAATTAACATCTCCTTGAATCTTCCAGTTCAATTATATGGCATATTTCTTCATTTATTTAGGTCTTCCCTAATATATTTCAGTTAAGTTCGCAAACTATTTAGCATTTTTGCACTGACATTCACGGATGAGATCGGCCCTCACTGTGTTCATAGTTTTCTTCCTTAGGGTTTGTTTTTGAGCTTATGCACCTCATAAAATGGGTTTGGCCATGTTCTCTGTCTTTCTGTGCTCTGGAATTCTTTGTTCCATGGATGACAGGTGGAGCTCTTGGGTGAAGTCACTTGTCCTTAGCGCTTTCTTTGTGGGAACGCTTGAGAGTACAGATTCACTTTCTGTCTAGTGTTCTCCTGGGGCAGCTTAACTGACCTGTGCGTGTTGAACTTTTGAAGCTGTAAGTGTCACGGCACCTTTGACAGCTGAAAATAGTTTGATGCTAATGAAGCTTATCCTCTCATGCTGATCCATTACTTATTTATTTGTTTTAACAGAGAAGTGATTGAAAAGAAACCAGAAAAGTTTAAAGTCCAGTGTTTGACAGACATCAAAAACCTGTTTTTTCCAAATACGGAACCCTTCTATGCTGCTTTTGGAAATCGACCGGCTGTAAGTAGTGGATGGGGTATATCAGAGCTCTTGAAATCGCTGTCTTTTTCTGACAGCAATCATCTGAAAGGCTGGCCTAGACTGTATGTGAAGCCAGATTCTCGTCCTACAAGAAATAGCTGATAAAGAGCCACCTGCCTACATCTAACGGCAAGGAGATTGTACATTATTTCATGGCCTCTAGTTTTCTTTGAAGATTGCCTAGTAGGTTTCATTTTGAAGCTTGAAATGTGGGACTAGTCACTTCAAATCCCACATTACCTGCTGAATTAGTAAAACAAGAACGTTGAATAGGATTCAGCCCTTTCTACCAGAAGGGAGACCTCAAAGGCAGTCCTTGGCACAGTAGTGAACTCAGCATCTTAATTTTAGGAGTATTGTTTCTTATGGTAAAAGAAATGCTTTGAGATTGTGTGTGTACTACCCAAATTTGCTGGACAGTTCCGCATTCTGGAGAATATGGTTGGGTCCCAACTTCCCAGTGAGAAAATTCCCCTACTTTTGAAACTCATGCCCCAGAAAGTGGGTCAGAGAATAGCGGTAAGGAATGTTGGAACTGCAGAGGCTGCGGTGGGTTGTTGACTGTCTAACTCAGCTCCTGAATAGATGAGGGAACTGAGGCCCAGGGGGGAAAACTGATAATAGTTTCACCTCCAGAAATATTCTTTCTCTACACTTCTTGGAAATATAGTTCTCATTAATGAAAACTTTATAATACTGTATCAAGTCCAAAATATCATGCGTTTCTGTTTGCAAGAACTCTTTTTTTTTTCTAATTAACGCTTTACCATATATAGGATGTGTATTCATACAAGCAAGTAGGAGTGTCTTTGAACAGAATATTTACTGTCAACCCCAAAGGAGAACTCGTACAGGAGCACGCAAAGACCAACATTTCCTCGTGAGTATTGTGCACGTTTTGTGTGGTTAACTGTTTTGTTACGTTGTTGTTACCGTCTTAATCTTGGAAGGTATTTTATAATTTACAGTATACCTTTTTATCTTCTGTTGCCTGTGTTTTAATCTTTAGTTCTTACATGGAAAAATATATTTTAACTCCTTGTATTTTAACTTCTTGTAACTTACTTTTTGGGCAGTCTTGATTGAATCAGATCCCCTCTGGGCCGAAAACTTGAACTAGTGGTTAGAGTCTGCTGTAGAGTGGAATTGAATGAATTTGAAAACTAGTGGTTTGGATTTGCCAAGTTGGGCTTGAAAGCCTAGAATGTGGATTAGAAATGTAACGAAATTGGAATATCACGTGAAGCTGTATTTAAAGAGGAAGAGCTATGTATCTCTTAACATGTTGACCTGTAATAATATTCTCACCAGATGCATTGCTGTGTAATTCTAAGAATTCTTTGCGTATTTTTGGTCAAGGCTGAAGCCCAGTTGCCCTGAGGCAGGGGGGCTGAATTGACTCACTGTTTGTACTGAGGCGTCCTGGTGGGCTGTAGAAGTTCTCTTGACTTTGACGTGTCTCACTTGGGGTTCCTAACTTCTTAGAACGTTCTTCCTCATCCCGTGTGTTGGGAGCATTGCCCACCAGGTGCATCAGCCCAGGCAGACAGGTGTCGTCTGGCCTGGTCCGTCTCAGAGGCTTCACCTCTTCTGGCCTGCTCTGTGCAGACCTGGAAAGGAGCGCATGGCCTGAGTGGCACCAGGGGGCCTGCTGGAGCCCCCTTCCCGTGGAGGAGTTGGATGGGGGCAGTTTGGATCTAGTGGCTTCCCAGGGACTGGCCTTCGCTGGGCGCCTCCTGTGGTTTTAGGTAAATTCGAGATCTAGGTTCCCCCTAGAGCAGATTTTCACTTTCAAGATGTTCCCTCTAGCAGTTGGCGTCTAATCCACCTTAACCAGGGCCCTTCCAGAACAGCAGCGGGCACTGATTCCTTTCTTAACCCTTTCTTTGCTGCTTCCCCACTCCCCAGTTCTACATGGCCACCCCTGACCTCAGCGTTCCCTCTTCTCCCTCCTTCCCTAGCACAGCACGTTCCCGCGTGAAAGGGTTTCCTCAGTCTGGGGAAGATGTGGTGGATTTCCATTTAGGGTCAAAAGCACTCTCAACCGATGGGAGAGTGCTCAGAAATGGTAAAGGTTTCTGCCCAGCAGCAGCCAAGTGGCAGGTCTTGTCATAAGGGGCGTGGAAAGGGGACTTGGGCGTCTCTGAGGGTTTGCTGGGAGGCCTGTGAGGGTATCCCGTTCGCTGAGACTTGGGTGAAAATGCACACTTGGCCCGTGCCTTGGCCTGGAGTGGATCTCTGCGTGGGAGGACACCTTCCACCTGGGCTGGGAGACGTGGTTGTTCCTGCGAGCGAGTGATTCTCCTTCGCCAGGAAAGCGCACACTTTTCTCGGGCACTGAACTTGGTATGATCGTGTCAGAGCCAAGTAGGCGCCTGCCCCTTGGAACCTGGGGCGCCGTCTCTCAGAGTCGTCTGAAGGGCTTCCGAGGGCTTGGGGCCACACGGTGGGGAATTTCAGGGCCTGATTCTTGGCATTTGTGGCCATCAGTTGTGAGCCCTGCCTGCTCCGAGGAGCCCTGTGTGTGGAGGGTTGGCCCCAGAGAGGCTCACAGGTGGAGCTTGGTCGCCGCTCCGAGCCCATGGGAATCGCGTGAAGCTGGTGCCTGCCACACCCTGGCAGTGAGCAGTGAGCCGCAAAACTCAAACAAATAGGTCTTAAAGCCAGGAGGTATTTTAAAAATTTGTTTTAATCCCCAGGAAGACATAATTCTTGTTTATTAAGAGAGATTTTTCCCATTTTGTGCAAGCCTGATGTTTCTCATAAGCCTTCTGGAGTTCCTTTATTAAATACACACACTCATCTTTATTTCATGAGTTATCTTATGCCTCAGAACATGCTAGTTCCTGGAGTTTGGATTTTGAAAGCCCCTTTGGGTTCTTGGCAAATTGGAACTGGAGAGGGACCCAGTGACTGTCAGGGAGGACTCTGGGAGTGTGTGGAGAAGCCTGGGTGTGTCAGAATTTCTGGTTGGAGGCAACTGGAGGTCTGGAAATTCATATTGAGTACAGCAACTTTCTTTTTTGTAGTGTAGGCCACAGAACTAATATGTAACATCTTCTTGGGAATACACAGAAAATAGAATGAGAGAATATTGTGGAGAGCACTGAGAAACACTCAGTCTAATCCAACTTCACACTCTGTAAAGATGAAAGGCCTGATCCCCAGAGAGGGCAAGTCACCTGCCCGAGGTTCCACAGCAGTAAGGTGGGAGTAGATCCCAGGTCTCTTGACCCTCATGTGTCTAGGGCGAGTAATTAGCTGGGGCTAATTATCTCCTAATGTTAATAATTCATTGTTGACTGAATTTATTGAGCATTCAGTACACGTGGTTTTATTGTTGCATACGTTATTTAATTCTCATATGAACACTATGGCACAGTTTTCATTTTCTTCCCATCACAATTGTGAAATTGTGGCTTAGGGAGATGAAGCCCTTTGCCCAAGATCATACAGCTCGTCAGTGGCAGAGGTGAAGGTCATATCCGTGTCTTTGTGACCCCAGGGCCGGCTCTTTTCAGTGCGCGGTGACTCGGTCTCTGATGCTCCAAAGATGAGCTCTGTCTGTGATGCTCTCCCCCGACGCCTGTGCGTGAGCTCTGCGGTGGGCGGCTGTCTGTCCGTCCACTGTGCTGATCCCTTCCTGTCCTCCTTTGCTTGTGCTCTGTCCTTCACGAGTCCTTGGTCCCAAGTCAGGTCCCACCCACCTTGCTGTGACTCCTCCTCCGTATACTGCTTGATTTCCTATTAGTAAGGAATTATTCTAGAACAGCCTTCAAGGTGTTAAGTTGGTGGTCGGCTCCTCGGGGTCGTAGATTTCTCCTGACTTCCACGTGTGGCACGGGCACGTGGCACGTGTTCCACTCGGCTGAGTGTCCCTCAGAGGCAGTGACGTTGTCCGTTTTCCTTCCAGGTACGTGCGACTCTGTGAGGTGGTCGACCATGTCTTCCCCTTGCTGAAAAGAAGCCACTCTTCGGACTTCCCCTGCTCAGATACATTCAGTAATTTCACCTTCTGGAGAGAGCCACTGCCACCTTTTGAAAACCAGGACGTTCATTCTGCCTCAACGTAAAATGTTGCAAGCAACCTCCTGACATCACGTGGAGACCGGACACCCCCATTAAAGGATAGATTTTGGGAGCCGTGGCGCGGGAGCTCGGGAGCCTGGCATGCATCCTTTGCTTAAGAGCAGGGAGAACTGAGAAGCATTTCTCTCTCCCCCTGCCCTGGGGGTTGACATTTCTCAGTGAAATTATAGACGAGGGATCAGGCACCGTCTTAGTGTGGAAGGCATTCCTCGGTTGTGGCTTAGAGCCAGGTGCAGCGCGTCCCTTCCCAGCCGGCTTGAGCAGTTCGTCTTCGGTTAATGTGCAATATGGGCCTATGAAACCTAAGCAGAGGCGGCTGACGGCAGTCCTCGCTGATGACAGTGTCAGTCGAGGAACGCCGGATGTCTGCGACTTCCAGCAGAGTAGGGGCACGTTTCCACCACAGCCGTTTGTGCCACCTCTTCCTCACCTGGCGGGAGGGCTGGGCTGGGTCACATGACCTGAATCTGAGGTCTCTGAAGGGACTCCAGACCTCACTGTTCTGGGCCTTGGCCTGTGGATCTTCCCTTGCAGTATTTGTCAACCAGTCTAATTTTTAGGCGATAAGTTCTTCTTTAATTCCTTTGGTTAAAGATAACCTATGTAACTGGCATATTTTCCCCCATTTCTGTGGCTCCAGGCTGGAATATTTATGCCTTAATGCATCTGTGGCAGACATTTTATTTAGAATGTGCTTTGTCTAGCTCTCCGTGACTTTGCAATGCCTTAAGTTCAGATTCTAGTAAATATTACTGAGGCAGTATTTCCGGTCCGTTCAGCACTCTGCCAGCAGCCTTTTATCCCCCAAGGTGGTGCTGAAAACGTGGACCAGAGCTGATGCCAAATGAGAGTCATGTCGATTTCTGTTAGGAGCTCTCAAAAGAAACTGGTTGGTTTTAAGAAAATAGTTTCAGGAAGTTAAATTATATACTTTGTAGATGGTATTATTTATTGCTTTCCTCTGATTGAATTGCTGTTGTAAGCATTTTGGCCATATTCTTACTGTCATTAATCCATTAAAAAGATACACATGTTAGACTATCCAAAAAGCCTTATTGTGTGTATCTCACAACACTGACCTTCTTTTGAACTGATGAGTAATACTTGCTATTTTCCTTAGCGTTTTTTCACTCAAATTCAAGGCAAGTGGGTAAGTGATAACTTAAGTGACATTCTTTAAGCCAGTAGAAGATGATTCTTTTACTCGTTTATTAAATTGGCTTGTGGAGAGAACCATTTGAAAAGTGAAAGAATTATTTCGGTCAAAGATTTGCTTTACTTTTTCAAGTGTTATTTTTTTAAAGAGTGTCTTACTCCAGTCATAGAAATACTTTCCTGTTTAAGTCGCGTCGTTTGGGTCGTGGGAGGCAGAAGAACAGTGGAATGAAATTTTACTCTTTCTGTGAAAGAAAACCCAGAGGCGTTGCCTTCCTTGTAGTTGGTCGGCCCCGTGAGCAGAGGGTTCCTTGACCGTGCGGCTCCTGCGACCGCACAGAGAAAGGCAGGCGGACGTGCGGAGTTGACTGCAGATTTGCAGAGAAACATGGACATGCATGTGCAAATTCCCTTTTGGAGGCGTTAAAAATAATTACAAATAGTCCTGCCTTAACTCTTCTGGGCTTGTTCCTTAGTGACCTTTGGAGGCGACATTAATTCTTTCTGCCACGAGGGTATTTTGGGGTGAATTTAACTGTATGAACTCAGTATAAGCTGGCGGGCCTGCAGAGCTGAACTGGCGTCTCCCTGTGCTGGGAGGAACGTGGCTGTGAGAGTGGCTAGTGTATCCCTCATGCCATGTGACCCTCATCAGGACGACAGCTGTGGTCTGCTCTGTACCTGGAGGTGTAAGAGCATGCAACTTTGGACTCGTAATTTTGATGTACCTTAAGCTTCTGCACCACTGCACTCTGAAACAGAGCACGCCTTCCGGAAAGACGCGCTCTCGGATCTGTGTCAAGGTCAGGGTGTGACCCCTGGAGAGCCTGTAATATTTACACCTGCCTGTGGCTTTGGAAAATGAGATTTGTACCTGGGTGGTGCTCACATGTCTGGGAGTTGGTTTGTCTGTGTTTACACAGCTATAACCTGCTAACCCCACACGTCATGTGCTAGAATGCTGCATTTGGACCACACGTTTCAAAGTTGCCGTATGGAAATCCATCACTCCGTAGTGACAGGTGATCAGATGTTCATCACATGTGATGAAGAAAGATGTATATACTTGGTATATAGAAAAATATGTATACCTAGTACATTGGAGAAATGACTATACCTTCAAAGAAAATTCCCTTTTCAATTTTAGATTTGGGTCACCACTTTAAATATATTTTATTTACAACACTTGATCTGTATTTGTGTATGCTGGTGCAATGATAAAAATCACTGTAATACTTCATTGTGTTGTGCTGGATCCAAAGCTAGAAAATATAATAAATGAGACTGATGAAAGGCTTCTCTGAAAATCAGGTGTGTGAATTTTAAATAGTTTTTGGTAAGTTATTGAGTTGCTCATTTTCTGATATCAAGCGTATTATTTTATTTAAAAAAAAAAACCCTTAAGTCTATGAACTGTTCAATATTTGGAATAAAAGAGCCAGTCTTTTCTGATGTCTTTGGTACAACACTGGCCCTGTTCTGTTCACTTGGGAGCGAACGGGGTGAAGATGGAGAGAGGAGGGCAGCACACCGGGCTTGTCTCACCCTGGTGGGAATGACTCCGGCGCAGAGAGGGTTCAGTTAAATGTCATTCATGAAGTGCTTCCAGGGCCTGGCCCATAATCGGTGTTTAACAAAAGTGGGTTCTATTCTGTCTTCTTGTGTGTGATGGTCTGTTGGGTGCCACTGCAAGAGGAGACACAGGAGAGGCTCAGAAAAACAAAGTTTATTATACTTAGGTCCTTGAAACCGGAGGCATGCATGCCATGTGGCACCAGGGGCAGGAGGCAGAAGTAGTGGGAGGGAGGGGAGAGCCTAGGCCATGGCCTTAATTGGGTTTCTTGGAAAAGGCAAGGCTGGGTGGAGTGAACCGTTGGGACAGGCTAGTTTGAATAATTTCAGCGGCCTCTAAGCTCTAGGGCTGGTCCCTGGTTGCCTGGTACCCTGAGATGATTGGGAGTATTGCCTCCCAGGGTGTGTGGGCCGGGGTGTGTGGGCCGCTAGGTGTGTGGGCCGCTAGAGGAGGCCTGGCTCTGGGTTGGTTAGTTTGCATATCACAGGCATGCTCCGGCTGGGCCCTTTGCTGTCTCTAAGAAGTGGCTAGCCAGTCTCTCCCCAGCCAGAGGGATTTTTAAGATGTCTAAAGACTATAATAATATACAGAAAATAAAAGTACAAAAAATACAGTTTCCCTTACCTCACATCCACTGTGCTCAGCCTTTGGACTCCCCTTCTCTGTGCTGTACCCGATTCATTTTTCATTTTGAATGAATCAATCAAACTGTCCCTAGTTCACCCAGGTAAGTTGAAAAACGCCATAATTCGTATTGATTTGGTGCATTGTCGACATGCCTGAGACATCCTATTGATTTACCCGTGTCAGCCTAAGTGTTTTTGGAGTAAATGTAAGAATATTGGTCCCTAAATGTGTATAAGATGGCTACTCAGGGTACCAGGCTGAACTCATGAGGCCCAGATCCAAACAGTTCGTGTCTAGGCATCTGTAGAATTAATGCTCTTGTGTCTTGAAAACAAAACAAACCCTCTCGTTTAGTTGAACATCACAAGTTTATTCCAACTCTTATTTTGGATTGTAGGCTCTTTTATCTGTAAAATAAAAATTAGCGTAAACTGTCGTCCTGGGCCTGGTATCTCGCCCTTTGCCGCTTGTCTCAGTGGTACCACTAGGCTATGCTGTTTCCATTCGGTTGTGCTGGCAGCTCTCACGGACGTGCAGAGGAAGCTAGTTCAGTAGCTTGAATTTCCCCAGTGTCTCAGCTCTGATCACCTGAATATTTAAAATACTTTCTATTTTGGTTTTCAGAATGGACACACCCCACCAGTCTTGCCAGCCCTTTCATGCAAGGCTGGGGAACACTGACGATGAAAAGCCTGTGGCCCTGGGGCAATCCTGGGATCAGAGGAAAGTCATGAAGGAAAGTGAAGCAGACCTCATTTAAAAAAATTAAACTCCTTCTGGAATTTGAATTTCCTCATTCTAGTGGCAGTGTCCTCCTAACCAGCTGTCAGGAGAGCTTTGTCACATTGCCCACCACTTAGGCGTCTACCTCCCTTTGCACATCTGTATTCTGTCTTCGGATGCGGGGGGCCAAGTGGGAACAGCACTGCCCTGCTTCCACGGGCCTGGGGGTGCTGGGAAGGCATCCTGTCTGCTCTAAACGAAAAGAAGGTGCTTAAAATGCCACTAGGGTCCCTTCCTACCTCTGATCCCTTCTCCAACTCCTGCTGTAATTGAAGGTGGGGTTAAGGGACACTACTATTGAAGAAGGCTTGGTGCCCAAAGGAGACCAGAATATGACCAGACGGAAGCCAGCCCTGCAAGTCAACGGGCCTCAAATGGCCGCCTGGGGGCCCAGTCAGCTTTGGTTTGGAGGCACAGCCTTTAAAAACGTTGTCCCAGCTTAACAAAGGCCCCTCCCTGCAGTGCTCGTCCTGAAGAGCAGCCAGGTGCCTTGTGGGCTTGCGGGAGAGGGAGTTCCTTAGTGGGTTGTTTGGGTACCAGAGCGCCTGCAGTTGGCACAGCCCAAGGTCAAACCTCACTACCTGGCTCAGAGGAGGGAGCAGTTGGTGGCTGCCATTCAGGCCTAACAATCATTTAGAGTTGTGGGTTCTCAAAGTGAAGTCTCCGGCCTGTAGCGCCAACATCAGAGAGCTTGTCAGAAATGCAGGTTCTTGGGCCCTGCCTGAGTTGTACCGGATGAAACGGTGGGCGTGGGGCCCACAACCTAAGAAATCCTCCCAGGATTCTGAGGCATGCTCAAGCTCCAGCTGACCCACCCGAGGTTCGGGCCCTGTTCACACGGAGCTGCTTGTGTGTTAGGACAGCTGACAGCCAACTTTATCTAGCGTGGCCCGGGCAACAGAAAGGATCTGCTGAAGGAGGGAGGCCCCTGGAAACCCAATACAGGGGTTCGATTGAGTCACAAGGTGTCGTCAAGACCCTTTGAGACACAGTAGCCCGCCCAAGCCGCCTTCCTGGGCCTCTCAGTGTGAGCTGGTCCTGGCTGGCAGGGGATTCTGGCTGCCACCAGGATGGGCGGCCCAGGGCCTGTGAAGAGCAGGCCTGGGCTGTGCCCAGATTTCTGATGGCTCCCTTCCTCCCCCAAATTGTCGGAGCCTGGAGGTGCTGTCCTGGTGCCAGCGATCTTTTCACTGGGGCAGGAAGTCCATTCAGCCCTGCATTGCTTTTAATGAGTTTTGCAAGCAAGTGGCCTCTTCCCGTGACTCATTCTGCCTTTTGTGCACCGGAGATTGTGGTTTTAAGTTTCAGATTGGAAAGTAACCACTACTTCTGCTTTCTCCGCTGCTGGAATCTGAACAAGTTAGATTCATTTTGCAACAAAGAAATGTAAATGTAGGAGCGCCAGTCATATTTCTGCCCTGATTGTAAAAACATCCTTTTCCGAGATGGATGACAGAGCCAAGCTAAGAAGAAATGGTTTATATTGTCAAGTAACGGATGCATTGGGGATCTTTGTATTTTTCCTTCCAGAGGGGTTTGATAGTTTCGCTTTTATTTTTTGTCTTCTTGATTCATATTTCAGGGATATCCTAAAAATAAACAGCTCCTGTTGATTCAGTGTGGCCGTTAACCTCCGATTTATTGGGAGAGACTTCGTTCTGGACAAGTTTGTGTTCTTGTTTTCATGCGGCACACAAAGGATGATGATAATAGAATTTCCTCTACAGTGAAGTAGTTTTCATCTGGACTCTCCGTGGACCTCAGTTTACGGTCCCCGAATTTGTGAATTTCTTAGGATTAGACAGCATGTGTTAAATGGACACCATGCAGCATTTTTTCTCCAGTTCGAATAATGTAGTTACCTTCAAAATGTTACAGTGTTGAAGTAAGTTATTTTTATACAATTCTTTTTAAATATGTACAAACATAAAACAATAGCCCTTAGACCACAATAAAACCAAAATGCATTTAAAATTAAGTGCAGATAAAACTAGAGCGCTAAGAAAATGCAAATTAACGTGATTGTTACCTGGTTGAACTGTTGAGGTGTGGAAGCCAGTGGGGTGATGTCGGGTTTGGGTTTAGAGTAGACATTTGTATTCGTGTTTTATGTTTCATTGGTCAGCTTGATTCCGTCAGCTTTTGAGCATCACAGGCCACTATTTAAATCCTCCCTAACACTGAGTTCTACAGAATAGAGTCATGAAAAAGTTCTTATTGCACACGTCCATCTACATTGACTGTAATGCACTGGTGCGGAGTTTTGCTCCAAGGATGGGGTTCCCTCAGTGAATCGTGTGGCAGCATGAATGTGGCACTGACTTGGAAATGGAGACTTCTGAGTTTGTCTGGGGACTGCACTACCCAGACTCCGCTGTCCTCATTCTCTCTCTTTGAGGTGCCGTCAGACCTTCGTTGAACATTCTGGGATGTCAGTTACTGTTCTCAAGGCATCAGAACATCCAGCGATGGGGTTCTGGATGCCCATCACCCTTCTCTCCTCCGGGATTCTGGCTGATGGAGCATAAACTGAGCCTGAGCACCTGGGAAAAGGAGAGAGAGCCTGCTTCCTGCTTCGGAGCCCAGCCGGCCTGCACCCTGACCGCGTGGGCAGAGGCTCAGCCCTCCGACCCGGAGCTGCTCCCCCTGCGGGGAGGAGAGAGGAGCAGCTGAGGAGAGATCTGTGGACAGCAGCCCCCAAACCTGCACTCCTGCCGTCACTCTCTAACAACATGGCCGGTCTCACAGTCCAAATGGATGTCTGCGGGCCTTGAGGGAGGCGGGCGGGAAATCCCGCTTCTAGAGAGCCCAAGCACTTTTGAAACTTCTAAGTATTTTGTAGTTTCTCTTGCTTTGGACGCACGTTGGTGGATGGTCAGATGAGAACATTTGCATGGATTTGGGGGGCCCTAAGATGGGGGATAGCTTTCTGTGGGGACTGGGGAAACTGGCCTGGCACCTCTTGTTGCGATGGCACCTCCTGCTGCAGGAACTGAGGCCGGGTAGCTGAGCAGCCTCCGGGTCCTGAAGGTCTGTTCCAGTTCACTCAGCGCCTGCAGGAAGATGCGGGAGGGGTCTGACCCTGACACCTTGAGATGGGTGGGACCTTGAGTGGTGTCTGTCTCACCCGAGCTCCCACTGCCTCACCCCTGTGACACCACGCTGCTGAGAAAGCTCCAGACCTGGGGGTTCCCGACATGCCCTTGACAGCTGCAGGAGGAGGAGGGGAGGACAACGGCTTTGACTCTGGCTTCAGAGGAGGCCTGGCGTTTCTCCCAGCAGCAGCTGCAGTACCTGGCAATCAGCATCATTTTACAACAGTGC